ATATATATATATATATATATATATATATATATATATATATATATATATGTTTTATATATATTTCTATTTTTACGTAACTATTTCTACATAATTAATTATGCTCAGAGGAATCATGTAAAGAATGCTAACATATAAGAAAATTTATATATAAACAAAGATTAGATGCTTATTTCAATAAGCAAATGCCTTTATACATTAAATGTAGCAACATATTAATTAGATAGTAATAACAATAAAATTTCCGATCTCGTCAAAATGTCACGTTAGTCAGTTTGGTGTTTCGTAAGACACTTGATTTACGTCACAAAAATTATCATATGTTTCTTTTAATCCGACCTTTCTATGAAATTATCAAGCTCAATCTGAATAGATTAGTCGCATGAAATATCGTACTTTTTCTTATTTTCTTCCCTTCCCTTCTCTTAATCCATTAACGGCCAACGTCCCACTCTTAGGAGAAAAATGTTTATTATCTGTATTAATATCAAAGTTTAATTATTTATAAATATATTTTTAATTCCGCGAAGTAATTAAATAACTTTATTAATATAGTGTGTGTACTAAAACATATATGATTATACAACGAACACTTAATCATTAAATTAATTATATATTAATGTTAAATATATTAAATTTTTTATTACTTTTATATTATATGCATATCAGTTTCACGCGTAATTTTTATAATATTTATTACTTATATAGCCATTTAGTTTCTCTTTACAGCTAATAAATATACAATCATTTTTTAGTTTTATTCGTTATATATAAATATCAAATTATTATATATATGTAGTTTATCTTTGTAATTTATTTATTTTTATAAGAGATATAGATGATTTTATTAATAAATAATGTGCATAAATTGTGTTCTACTTCTGGAATTTACAAAATTGAATTTTTGGACTTATGAAACGTAAAAATTGTCCGTATTTTCTTTGTTTGAAATAAGCGAAAATTGAATGAGCTGAGAAGATATTCAACTCTTACCTGCAGGAATTTACACAGGACGCAGATGGAATTTTCACCAGACAGAACAAACTTCACCCTCGCGAAAGAAATAAGAGAAATGGAGATATCCACCGTGTGGTATGGTCAGATCAAAGATGCCGGTTCTGAATTTTCCGGTGGGGCCTTCCGGAGAGCCTATCGGCGAGCGAGGAGTCAAAGTTCACTGACACCACTCGGTGCAAATTTTACAGCGATATCGCGGCGGCTGTTTCACGCGGAGGATCGCAAAAATTGTCCTTTCGACGACGAGGTTCATACGAGTCGCCGGCGATCGCCGCGACAGTATACATATTCATGCGTCCTTCGACGATGGCGTCCCGGCGTCGAATGTGTGGCGATCGGCCGCGCAACCTCGGCACCGTCGCCGCTCCTCGTCCTCCTCATCGCCGTCGTCGTCGTCGTCGTCATCGTCGTCGTCGTCGTGGCGTCGACGCCCGTGTCAGTGAACCAACCAGCGGGCGGTTGTAGAACTTGTTGCGCGGAATGAAACTGAATCTCGACGAAACGATACGGAGAAACTGCTCAAGTAGAACACAAAGTCATATAAAAGTCAAAATGACGTCAAATGATATAAAAGTGATATCATTTTGATGTCAAATGATATAAAAGTGACATCATTTTGATGTCAAACATCATTTTGATATCATTTTCATGACAATTTCATGACAATGATATCAAAATGTCAAATGTCAAATGTCAAAATATCATCTTGACATCAAAATGATTTTGTGTTCTACTTGGGTGAAACTTTTTTCTTACTATAAGTGCAAAAATAGAGAAATATTAGAGAAAATAATAAAATAGATAAAAATAAGTTAGGGTTTGCAGGCGAAAGGTCAGAACGAATTATATACTCGAAAAGAATATACTATTCAGAATCCAAAGCAGAAATATTTAAACGATTATAATATATGCTTGTTTCATCGATTTGAATAAAAAATATTCGCGTGTATACTGAGAGAAAAAATATTTAGGAAATAAAAAATATTTATTCGGTGTGTAACTAATAATATATTTATTTATAAAAACTATTAATATAAAATATTAGTAATATAACTACTAATATAAAATATTAAATTACTTTTCAAATAAAAAATACTTTTTAATATTAATTAATTAATTAAATAAATTAATAAATTTAAATATTTCAAATAGAAAAATTATTTTTCTTTTTGTAAATATACATGTTCGTAAAAGCTTAGCTATTCATGAAAACATGTGTTTATTCTATTTAAATATAATTACTATAGTTATATATAAAGTCACATTTGCGGACAAAATTCATATAGAACTATAATATAATCATATTTTTATGATTACTAGAACAATACATGCGCGCGTGCCATATAGCTAATAAAAAACAATAAAAAATGTAAATTAAATTAAATTAAAATATACTTTAATTAATTAATAATTATAGGGAGAGACAGGGAAAGACAGGGAGAGACAGGGAGAGTTAGGGAGAGACAGGGAGAGACAGGGAGAGAAAGGGAGAGACAGGGAGAGACAGGGAAAGGCAGGGAGAGACAGGGAGAGACGGGGAGAGACAGGGAGAGACGGGGAGAGATAGAGAGAGATAGGGAGAGACAGGGAGAGATAGGGAGAGACAGAGAGAGTAGAGAGGATATATAACTTTTTTTCCCAGGAGTTATTAGTGCTCATCAAATAAATATTTATTTATTTTATAGATATTTTTTTCTCTTTGTGTAGACTCTCTGATAAAAAAAATAATTGAATATTTATTTATAGGATATAAAGTTTATTTACAGAAATAAACTTCACATTCTACAAATAATATTTTTCCAAGTCAGGTATTTTTGCTTATTATACAATTTTATTGTTTTTTCTACGATAATTATCTAACTGCGTAGCTTGAACTGTTCTAATATATGTGTTTTTGAAAATTATCATTACAGCCGTTTTTTCTCGTATTCTTTTCTCAAATATATTATTCTTGATATAATATATATCAAGATTCTTTTTTTCTTACAATAAAACACTAAATAGGTGAATATAACTGATGACTGATTAAAAAATTTTTAAAAGGAATCATGTAGAAATGGTTCTACCAACAGATTTAACGATTTACTCTCTTATGGGCAGACAAATACTTACAAAGCAGTAACGATGTATACTGGAAAAAAATCGCATTTATCACGCTATTGTATCGATGTTCGTTACTTCGGACGTTAAGGAAAAGTTCTTCTACTGTAATTACATGTACTGGGTATTATCGTCGCGCAATTTTAAGCAGGTCAACAGGCTTCCGTGCGTCGATAATAACCTTTATAATACGAGCAGGTATAGTATAACAACATAATACAATATAAAAAGGGAGAGAGAGAGAAAAAAATAGAAAAAAAGAGAAAAAAGTGATAAAGAGTAATTCTATATATATTTTCGTACACGTATATTTTAAAAATTTGAGTTAAAAGTTGAGTTAAATTCGAGTAAAGTTAAAAAAAAGATGCAGTAGTATTGAACATAATAGTCTATAAACACATCTGCAAAATTGTTATTACAAAAATATAAACTCATAAAAGTTCTTTGAAATTCTTTGCATATTTCTCTATCTACTCTCTGACTCTTTCTTAGACAATTGAAACATACTTTTACACAGTAAACATTTTTCCGACGACAAATCAACGGCACGAATATGCGAGTTCTAAAAACGCGCCTCAGCGAATTGGATTTTCACCGAGAAAGGACCTTCTCGGGCATATCGATCGCGACGCGCGTCGATAATCGAGCAAGGTCGTTAGCCGAAAGAAAGAAAGTGCTGGGGACGATATAAGCTAATTTCGATGAGATTAGATTAGAGAGTCGATCTCATGAATCTTTTTCTCTAGCGTGAGAATTCGTGAAAAATCTAACTTGAAAATATATGGGAATGTTCACCTTTTACGAGTTTACGTTGGAGAAAAAGATTCATGATTGCCGCAAAGCACTGCGAAATCATTTTTTATCGATTTTATATATTAACTTTTCACGATTTTATATATTGGAAAAAAAAGTTGCACGATTGATAAGATCGAATTCGCGTGAAAAGATTCAAGATTGATGCTTAGGAGAAAATGGAAGAAATTAAAGCGATGATAAATATCTTAATGAATACCACACGTTCTACTATTTTTCGTTCTTTTTGCAATCGATGCCTGAATGTATGTACAAACGTTTCATTTTAAACGCAAAAGTGCGATTTCAGATTTCGGGATATGGAAAGAGGAATAGCCTACGTTTTTCTCGTAATTTCTTAGATAAGCGCCTCAATCGACGGCCATTTCGAGCAAATGTCACGGCATTGCATGCTGAAATCCTTAGCTTAGTATGTTAAAAAGCTTGGATATTAAGCCCGATATCTAAAAGGTAAAGCACGAACGTGCTGAATTAATGATAGGCAATACTAAATTTTGTGGGGGAATTTAAAAGTCTTGGAATCTCTACCTAGATTTTTCGAATATTTTGTGTGTTGGACTTAATCGTTAACATATTATAATTGAAAGTATATAATAAAAATGTAGTTTTAGAAGAGCAATAAAGTAACACAATATGAGTAAAGTATTTGCAAATATTTATTTTTGTTTGTTTTACTTTTTTAGACTATTTATTTCCAATTTATTTTATATTTTTTCTTCTGTATCGATTTCTATAATTTCTTTATTCTTTTTTTCCGTTTTCCTTTTTTTCTTTACTGGTTCAGTTTCAATTTGTTCATCCTCCTTTGGTTTCTCAACATCATCATTAATTTCCACTACTGCCTTACTTTTCTTCTTCTTTTTTTTCTTTTTCTTCTTTAACTTTCTTTCTTTAACTTCTTTATCTTGCTCTACTTCTTCGCAAATTTTCATTGTTTCTTTGTTTGTTGTACTATCTTCTACTGAAGACGCATCTTGACTTTTTAATTTTCTCTTTTTCCCCGACTTTTTCGATTTTGTATTTTGTGGTGTTTCTTCCAATCTATTCGGTATTATCTCTTCATTATTACTATCCTTCCCATCTTTTGATTTAAGACAAACATCAATCCTTTCGTCTTTTACTTCCTCACTTTTCTCAAATTCACCGGCATGCTCCAATGCTTTTCCTGTTTGTTCATGAATTGTTGAATTGGCTCCTTTATTTTTCTTCTTGCCGCGTTTTTTCTTTTTGCTTTTTGATACTTTCTCCGTTCCTTTTTCGTTATCCTCCATCATATTGTCTTCTTTTGTGCTCAGGTCCGATTGTTCGAAATTTACGTTACCTCCTTTGCGCTTACACGTCGGTAGAGGCACTGCGAAATTTCTTTCAAATATTGCCACGAAAAATCCATTACAGAGATCAACGTCTGGTCTTGAATATAGACATTTGTCACCACAATTATACTCCGGCGAACTGAAGTTCAACCAATTTTCTTGTAGTATATTTTTAATCGGTACCAGACGATAAGCGTCTCCGATATTAGAGAGAACTTCGTCGATTACTTGCTCGTTTTCCTCGGGATGAACAGAACAAGTGCTGTAGACTACTCTTTCCACTTTCGGAAAGTTCAGAAGAGCGTATCTCAGTAGATAAACCTGAATAGACTGCAGATTCTGCAAACGTTTTGGCTCAACATCACCGTCTACGTCGCTCTGTTTCGGTCTGTCAACGATACCTGAAATTAAAGCGACACTCAAAAATCAATGTGGACAATAGCTGTAACGGTATGTTGTGCGATAAAATTAGACGAAGAGTCAAATCTACACATCGATCGTTATACTTACAACGATAGTTGTAGGTAAATTGATAAAACCGAATTGTTCAAAATCTATTTCTGGTGCAATAATAAAAAATGGATTTCTACCTGATCCGGAGCAACTAGGATCGACCAGAATGTAACGTACGCGACGATACTGTTTAGCAGTGAGAGTCAAAGCATCTTGATTGATAAGTTCCACGCAGAAAGAATGAGTTGCCTCGACCTGTTCGCGCAGAATGCCGAATCTTCTCTTGTCAATTTCCACGGCATAAATCGTCCTGAGAACAACCTTGAAATCTTAATTTTAATGTAATTTTGGAAATTCCTTTCAAAATCTTTCATATTTTGATATTTTATTTTAAAAGTCTGTTTGAAATGATAGAGGAATTTTGTGTTTAGTTTAACCTAATCTATACGTATACAAGATATGGAATACTTATTGTCCAACACTTTATATGATTAATAAAATCAGATAATTATCGGAAAATGCAAAACAGAACAATACCCGTTGTTCTGTAGTTTCGCTGCCAAGTGCGTGGTTTTCATACCGGGTGCAGCACACAAGTCCAATACCTCAGAGCCTTCATTGGGGTTTAGTAGATGTGCTGGCAAGCAGCTGGCCTAAAACAAGATCAAATTTGAAGAAAATGTCCTGAGTAAGAATTCGACGATTAAAAATAATAAAAAGTATATAGCCCAAGATTAGTATCTGGCAATAAAACGTAGATAATAATGAGATGATTTAAATAAATTAAAGACATTTAGTCTATACCTTATCCTGAAGAATGAGTTTGCCATTCCTATAGCCCGCATGATCGTAAAAAGATGTTGCCGGTGGGAAAGCTAGCACTTCTGGTACGTGGAAATCTTGCAAGAAATACGGTTTTGATAGCAACGATAATGAATGCAAATATGAGGAATATGTTGCACTTTTAGATAATAGCTTCCATCCCTCCTCTTCAAACAAGGAGATTGCTTGCTCAACTGATAATAGAAGTGTGTTAACACGCATGTATCTGGGTCTTAGCACTGAAAGAAAAGGAAAATCTGCTTAAAAAATTTAATGTAAACAAAATATGTTCAATCCACACATATTCAGGCTTTGTATGTGGAAAGAGAAGGAAGAAAAAGATTGTAGGAAAATCACAGAAAATGCAGCTAAAATGGACAGATCTCTTGACTTTTGTGTCAAAAAGAAAAAGATACATTATATTTTTATTTATATTATGTATACTATACTTCTATTTCCATATTTTTTAATTTTCTTGCAAATATTATATATTTAAAAATCATCCTGCATATTTTGAAATGTAAAAGATCCATCCTTTTCAGTTACATTTCTTGAAATTTTTTTCAATTCTTTTTTCCATTTTTTCTCTACTAGACTCAAGGAAATTTATTTACTTATTATTTTACATTATGTATACATTATTAAATATTTATAGGCTAGAAAAACTTGTTTCTCAACTACAATATAAAGAAATCTCTGACAAAATAAAAACTTTCGCAGAACATTACTTTCAATTATACAATTTGTTTCTTTGTCTTTTTACATCTCCCTCTTTATCTTTTAAATTATAAATTGCGCATAAATGCTTTTGCTTAAATAATAAAAAAAGTAATTCTTGGTACAAAGATCAACACTTTGTAAAATTCTTCAAAGAGAGTAATTCTAAATAAAATTTCTTATGTAATATTCTCTAAATTTCATTTATATCTTGGTTCTCTTTTTCTTTCTTTTCATACGTTAATTGTATAGAAATAAATTACATAGAAATGCATTTAGGTTATAATAAACAGTTTCTTATCCACAATAAGCATAAGTTTTCATATGCAAAATCATTAGAGACCCTTTTTATTCAAATTCTCTTTAGAGTCAACCATATTTTCATCTTCATTATTTTCCTTTTCTTCAACTGCCTCATGTAAAGCCTGATAGGCATAACAGGATATAATTAAGTTTACTGTAACCACAGCAGCCAATACTGAGAGACAAGTAATTGCATAAGTATCTATCTGGAATTCTAATCTCATATAGTGCTGTACACCAAAAAAGGCAACAAATGGCAATGTAAACATGGCAATGCTGTAGAGCAGCAGTGTGCCAAAAACCATTAGCACACTCATTTTTTTATCGTTCTTAATGTTAGAAATATTCTGCAAATAACAGGATCTTTCACGATCCTTGGGCTCTCCTTTCCTAGCTAGCTTTCTCTGCCGACTAGATAATATTCTGCAGTTGTGGATAATCAGTACCATGAAGGAATCTTCTGCTACAAATTCTCTCTTATTTCTGCAAGCATAATAGAGGGTTTATTGGCAAGCCAAGAGGCAATGTTACCTTTCTTAGATGTTGCAGAAGATCTTGTGTTCTCAAGATTCTTTAATTCATTTTGCAATAAGTCTGCATATGATAAGATAGTCTGAATTGGTTTGGATAGACTTTGCAGATGTTTTTTGCCCCATAGTAATTCTGTTATCAGTACCCTAGTCAGCCAAGGATCCAAGCGAGGCTGTTCTGTGAGAATCTGAGTCCTCTGGAGAAGTAAGTCCAATTGAGCACCAGCTTGTAGAGTATTTACTGATAGAGCATAGATGCCAGACACATTCTGCAGAACAAACCACTCAGATAAAATTTAATTGTAATTGACGAGATTATCTTTTGCGTGCTTTACACATATATGCACGCATGTGCCACATACGTACGTACATACACATTTATCGTTTTTATTCATTTATTTATGTACTTACAGGATGTTTTTTCTCATAAATGAGAGTTTTCAGACTGGCTCCTCGCTCTTGAACGCAACGCACGATGTCGGCCGTTATCTTATAAATTCTCGGCACTTTAACAGAATGTACAAATCCATCCGACATATTACAGCATTAGTATATACTACGATACATATTATCCTTGCGGTACTCGATATATTACTTATACCGACGCAATCACGTGCAAAATTCCAGAGTTTCCACTCATTTCCGCTATGAGACACCACCACCTTTAATTTGACAAACGGTCTGTTCCTTTCAGATGCATTGCTGGAGTGCGTTTGGAAATGTCACTCGAGTCCTCTTTTTTTACCTCAATCTCGTATCTTTCTTATTCCAACGGAGCGGGAGCACCCATGTTTTCGAACGCACCCCTGTACTGATGCGCAATAAGTTAAAATGAAATAAAACATATATGTCTTAAGTCCATCGCACATGAAATGACATAGCTGCATGTGCATAACATAAGACTGTATAGATCAATAAGCATCAATTAGTATTGATCATCAAGCATCAATGGTTGCGTTCAGCAGAGAAAGCTGCTTTGCAACTGTTATAAAATTTGTGAATCTAATTGGAGTATGCACTTAATTTTGGTTAAATCCAAGAGCATGTACCAATCAGATTCACGAATTTTACAATAGTTGCAAAGCAGCTTTCTCTGCTGAACGCAGCCATTGGTTGCGTTCAGCAGAAAAATTATTCTTCTATAATTCGGCTATGATTGGTCAATTTTTACGGTTCCGGCATAAGTTAACGGATTATGACCATCATAAACCAGCCTTTATTCTAACTTATTGCACCAGTGCAGCAGTGTAGCTGAAAAGAACAGATCTCTATCTTAAAAAGGGTGCTTTCCAATTGCTTGACACATCTTGACACACACGTATACAAAACCAGTTTATTGGTCACATATTATCTAAAATATCTTGTAAGATAATATATAACTAATAAGCTGATTTTGTGTAACAGCGTAAGCAACTGGAAAGCACCCAATGTCGTTCACAACAATACCAACGTGACTGAATAGAATAACGTGAACAGTCCGAGTCTACTAATAGGAAAATAGCACGTATTTTATATATTATTGGTGCATTTTGAAACATCCTTTTTTCAATAAAATTTCACTGAATTGAAAGTATATTAGTCTGTTCTTTTCAGCTGCACTGCTGAACTGTGCAATAAGTTAGAGTGAGAAAACATATATTTGTTTCACTTTAACTTATTGCACCAGTTCAGCAGTGCAGCTGAAAAGAACAGACCATATGTAATATGGGTTACATACCAAGGTTGCGTTCCAAAACGTCTTTTTTGAGGAAATTTTACTCGATACTCTATAATATATGTAATGTGAACTATAAGTATTGAGTAAAATTTTCCTTAAAAAGAACGTTTTGGAATGCACCCAAAATGTTCTTTCGAGGAAAATTTTACTGAGACTTAGGGTGTGTTCCCACTTAGCGCGTCACGCGTCGCGTCGTCCGAGTTAAGCAAATCAAATCGTCCCATTTTATTGCGTAACTTTACGCCGAATAAAATGGAACGATTTGATTGGCTTAACTCGGACAAAGCGTCGCGTCGTCTGCCTCCGTCACGAGTTAATCAATCAAATCGTTCCATTGAAACAAGTGCGTCGTGAGTCGCGCGTCGCGTCACCCCAATTAGAGGATTTGATTGGTTAACTTGTGACGCAGGCAGACAACGCGACGCGTGACGCGCACAGTGGGAACTCAGCCTTATAGTTCGCGTTATGACTCCTGCACACAGGACGCGGTAATGTTTGCCACGCAGCGAAAGTTCGCGCGATAGCCAATCAATGCTTTCCGTAATAACTTTCTAGCTCTTACGGAAAAAAAACATATTGATTGGCTGTCGCGCGGACTTTCACCGCGCGGCAAGCATTACCGCGTCCTGTGTGCAGGAGCGTCCTGTGTGCAGGAGCGTCCTGTGTGCAGGAGCCATTAGACATACTATAAATGCTATAGTAAAATTTTCTTGAGGAAATTTTACTCGATATTCTACAGTATATGAACTATAGATATTGAGTAAAATTTTCCTCAAAAAGAACGTTTTGGAATACAACTTAAAACCAAAATTGACTAAAGCATTATCTACAATGGGAGTAAAGTATGTCTGCAAGAAGTAAGATTAAAAAATTGACCAATCACAGTCGACTATACTTTTTATATTCGATTGTGATTGGTCAATTTCTTACTTTTGCTTTTTACATGTATATTTTATTCTCATTGTAAACGGATCTTAAAATCATCTACAATGGCCATAAAAGTATGGCAATAAGAAGTAAAAATAAGAAATTAACTAATCATAGTTGAATGCAAAAAAAATAATCAACTATGATTAATTTCTTACTCTCACTTCTTACAGTCATTCTCTTGTAGGTGGGCCTTTAGGGGTTTATCCTGGCCGTATGGAGTCTCTAGACCATAAAGAAGTAGACTCGAACGGGCGAGAGAGAACACGGTGGCGGTTGATGGCAGCCATTTTAATACGCGCCATCTGCACCGCGCTGTAATGAAGTTCGATGTGTCTTCGTAAAATACTCAACCAATTCACTTTTCCAACCAAGTTACCGTCTCCGTGGTGGTGCGGGCCAAAACCTGGTCGCGTCGTCGTCGACGCTTTTGAGGTTAATTTCTCTGTTGTCCCGGTACGAGAAAACTTCCTTACTTTATGAACCTAACCTCAATTTCCCTTTAAACTGCATTCTGAAACAATATTTTTTTCAGGCAACCCGTTTGCCACTAATCGACAAAGGCAGAACAATTTAACAGCTTTAGGGCTGAAGACTGGAACTCCCAATGGAACATTAACTTCATATGTTGGGTTGTACATTTTTATACTTTGAGCTCTTTATACTTTTGTTAGAAGCACAGATTTCAGTGGTAGATATTTTATCTTAACTCAAAGACATAAATTTCATCTTCAACCTCAGATGTTTTTGTAGTTAAAACTGTGCTTACTATTGGGACTTGTGATTGCCAGTAGCAGTATTAATTCAACTTGTTTCAGTACATACAGAGAATATATTTGATACAACAATGATAAACCTGTTGAAGATATATTATTCCATTGAACTTATAGATGTTTAGGTGATTATTCAAAGATCTTCAGAAATATACCATGTTGTAAGTAGTATTGATACGTCTTAAAATTTAGAAGCAACTTAAGACTCTTAAATTCCACTGCTACAGAATTGATGATGTTAGAAATGGAAAAAAACACCAAAATTTCTTGCATACTATTTTCAAATAAATATTTCTATGAAAGAATACTTCAAACCACTTGAAATGTGTAAAGTACTCCAAAAACTATCCTTTTGACAATAAATAGCCTTAAAATGAATGTGACAAAATCATGAGCAAAAGTAAATTAAAAAAGCTTAGATTGAAGAAGAAGGTTGCATCAATTTTATTAATTATATTAATTTTACATTAATTTTAAAACTATTGACTGTTAAAGAAAAAGGATAGTTTTTGAAGCATTTTACAAGTATGCTCAAGTGACCTGAGGTATTCTCTCATAAATTTCAAACAACTTTACTTGAAAGTGGCATATGTTTTCTAGTTTCTGACATCATCAATCCAGAGTTCCGTAGCAGTGGGAGCAAGAGCCTCAAGGGTTCAATATTGTTATAGATTTATTCAAAAAGATATTTTATCTTGTGATTTTTTATTTATTTTACCTTATTTTGCCTTATTTTATTTATTTTACCTTATTTTGCCTTATTTTATTTATTTTACCTTATTTTGCCTTATTTTATTTTACCTTTGATTTTTCTTCTTACAGATGTTTTAAACAATACATGAAAGAGATTTGATACCAAGTTTGATACTAGATAGCTTGTTATTGGCCACATAAAAGGATAGATAAACGTAAAAGAGATACAGTAAGCAAAGTCCATATGCCACAGAGGCGTAGATTCTCTTGATGATGTCGAACGACGAGGTGAACAAGCGTGACCACAATTACAGCGAATCATTGTTGGTGTCTCCGCAGCCGCCATCGCAATCACAGTCGTATTCAACTGACGATGGTGATTACAATAGTGGTGTCAGCGCGATTGGCCGGGGGAAAAGTCGGCCAATACGCGAAATCGGTCAGATTAAGGATATTGACGAGCTGAAGAAGATTGCACCGCGTGTGCGCCTACAAGATGCTCAAAGTTTAAGTGAATTGACGAAAATTTCATTGAATAATAGTAATTTGCAGAGCAATGCGTCGATCTCTGACAAGACCAAGCAAGAGTTAAAAAAGTACTGTCGTACTTGTGCTGGATTAAAAGTGCCCTTGGTAAGATTCTTACTGTAACCATCTCCCTGACTTATATATTTGTTTGTTATAATTTGCAGGTAAATTCTTATTTACATATATATACATATTATACATAATATATAATATTTTACATAATTTACATTGTTTATATGTATTGTAGAATCTGTTAAAATTTATGACACAACCCTGACTTTTCTGGTCTTACTTTATAGTTTTTTCTTTTTTTTATTTGTATTTGTTTATTACTAGTAATTACAGATTTTCTTCCATGATATTCAATTTAATCTAATAAGGATTTATTAGTTGTTATTGGTTATTACGGATGTAATTTTTCTATTCTCACTTTGACCGATCGTGTTGCAGGTGGACATTTTTAGCGAGCGAGGTACCCAAATGCGATTGAATCAGCAAATGCGGCATCTGGAAATCATTTATCCACACGACAACTTGTCCACACAGATGTGCATGGATTGCATCTGCGACCTGAAAATGAGCTATAAATTTTTTTTGCAGATCAAAAAAGCACAGGTAAAGCTTAAGTCAATTTTTTCCAACCTAATTACGTCAGAGAATGCAGCAACATCGAAAAAAATGGCTACTGAACGGTTACTGACGGATCCTGAACCAGCACAGCTTCCTATTGCAATGAAAGAAGAGCTGATATCAACATTAGGTAGCGTGCATTTTATATCATATGTATTGTTTAATTAAATGAATCTTTCTGATTTTATATCGTTTATTTTGTATTTATATTGTTTTTTTTATTAAATTCAGTAATTTATATATACTATTGTTTTATATATATATATATATATATATATATATATATATATATATATATATGTGTGTGTGTGTGTGTGTATATAAAATTATATCTTAACATTTTTGTATATTAATCAACTGAATCGTATCCAAAGACGAGAAGAATCTTGCTACATCATTGACTATGGACGAAAACCAACCTTCTTCCACAAGTCAGAAAGATGAAAAACTCGTATCCCCTATTTTTTCACTGCAAGATGACATCAAAGTTGATATAAAGGAGTCAACGGAAGAACTAGGAGCCGGCGGGATTTTCGAGGAAGTGGTGATGGAGGTGGATGACGATGATGAAGACTCTATCGAGGAGTTCGATCCGGAAGATCCGGATTTGCTCCAAGAACAGCAAGAACAGATCGAAATACAGGAAGAACAGGTTGAAATACAGCAAGAAGAACCGCCAGCTATTTATAATTATGATATCGCGCGGAAATCGTATGTACGACTGGAAGGAATCGTTGAAGAAGCAGCAACAGTTGCCGCTAATCAAGTAGTGCCTATCTGCGTCGATGGAGAAGGAGAAGAGAGTTCAAGAGATATAGGGCAGCCGAATATATTAAAGAAAAGACTACTAATGCCGACGCGAACAAGTTTAGAGGGAGAATCGGGAAGTAGCGGACCAGAAACAGCGGCAAAGATGCAGAAATTGGATTTAAATAACCCTTTGAGCGTGAACAACGCTCGCGAGGAGGATGGAGTTATGTACGTGACTGTAAAAGGTGCTAAGCCGAACGAGTTACTTCTAGTGAAAGTTAGTATATCGAGTACTTAATTAAGAATAATATAAATTTCGAGAGAGAAAGAAATGTAAGATGTTTTATAGAAAGAAAATTATAGAATTTTTAGGAATAACACTTTGTAGGAGGTAAAATATTTTGACATTTTTTGGCAAAGGAATCAGTTGCGTAAAATTGATTATAATCAACTCTTTCTTTCTCTCCCTCTTCTCTTTTTCTCTTTCTTCTTCTTCCTTCCCTTTCCATTTTTCCCTTCTCTCGTACTCCTCTTCTCTTCTTCTTCTCTCTCTCCTTCTCTCTCTCTAATCTTTTTAAGTCATTTGTTATATTTTATTAGATTATGGTATATTTTTTATTTTATAAATTTAAATATTTTATATAATTTTTAATTATAAAACAGGTAAAAAAAATGGACAAACAAGCAGAGCGTACATCCGCCGAAAGTAAATCTGTCGAGCGCTTTTTTAAACGCTACGAGACCCTATTGAAGGATTATTCGCGAAAACCGGACGCGCGCGAACAAATAATTGAAGAGCAAATTGAGGAATATAAACGGAAACGTGAGAAAGTTCTCGGAGATCAATCAGCATTGATCTTCTCTCTAAACGAAAGTCGAAAGGAGTTACAGAAGGAAAGTTCTCCTCCTAAATCCAGTCCTATAAAGGTAGAGGTTGAAGAAGTGATAATTGGGAATGAAAATGAGAGAGAAAATATGATAGTAGATGAAGTACAGGTTAAAGAGGTAAAGGTCGACATTGAGAAACTCAAACCGAAGTTGCCGAAATTGCAATTGGAAGAAACAAATAGAAAGAATGAAAACCCGCAAAAAGAGTCGGAGCAATCTTGCAAAGAAGCAGATTTGGTACGATTGACGAAAATTTTGGGTGAAGAAAACAAACATAATCTGCAGGTAATGACGATAGAATAACAGAAAGTTGCTTAATTATTTTCAAAGATTTCTCTTAACTTTCATCTTTCAAGCGTCTTTTCGCTTATTCGATTTCTTTCTGGTATAGGATTTCCAAGAGTATTTAAAACAGCGTAAGATCATCATCACACGTCTCAAAGACGACGATATCGTTTCTTTATACGAAGATCGTCACAATAGCGTTCTCAAGCTTCGCGACCCTTTCCTTGAACTCGTCGATGCTTCCTTGGCGGCCAATTCCTTATCCGAGGAATGTTGCTTCGAGTGTGATTATTGCCCAGAAACGTTCCCTAACCGTGAGCTTCTTGAGGAACATGTTAAAACTCACGATTACCGCATAATGCACTACTGCGACGACTGCGGCGAGGAATTTGTGACCAACAAGGCCAAAAGGAATCACAATATAGCCTGCTTGAAGAAACTGATTTGCAAATATTGCGACGTGTTGATGGATACTCGAGGAAGGAAACGTCGGCATGAACAGAAGCACGTAGACACTCTTTATGGTCAGCTTTGCGAATTTTGTGGGGAACGATTTAAGCACCAAGGTACTCTGGATCAACACCGAAAGACTCAGCACACAAGCGTAGAAAAGATTTATCAATGCCCTAAGTGCCCGAAGAAATTTGCCGTCAAGCAGAAACTCAGTTTCCACTTAAAGTCGGTACACACGACTTTAAGAGCATTTTTGTGCGAAGATTGCGGCGCAGACTTTAAGAATCCGGCTAGCTTGAGACATCATAAAATCCGGAAACACCAGCCTGTGGGCAATAAGCGCGAGTGTCCGGTTTGCAGAAAGCTAGTGCCATTTTACAGTTTGTCGAAGCACATGCATACTCACAAAGCTTATAGCATTCAGTGTCCGCATTGCGACAAAATGTTCAAAAATAGCTCGACGCTGAAGCAACACGTGAGAATCCACGAGGATCAGAGGCAGTATCGTTGCGACACGTGCGGAGTAGGATTTAATAGGAGAGACGGATTGAGACTGCACATGAGGGTACACCAGAAAACAGACAGTCGGGGACTGAAGGAATGCTCTTGTCAAGTTTGCGGAGAAAAATTTCCAAATCATTCGACTCTGGTGATTCATAGAAACAGAGTGCACAAGGACGGCAGACAATACACATGTCATATTTGTAACAGATCGATGATATCGACCAGGTCTCTCGAGTGGCACATGTCGCATATTCATAATGAATCTATACCAGGTAAAATTATATAAGAGACTGTTAAAGATGTATCGAAGGGTAATTATTATGATGTGGCAATTGTTTTTACTAACAATTATAATATAATAAGCGTAATTTTTCTTGCAGGTATTGTTCGTGACGAATCGGGTCTCCCGGAGAAGAAACGGGTCTCTTGTTATCATTGTAACAAGACATTCAAGACAGAGATGATCTTACGTACGCATATAAAAAAAACACACATGGAGAAGGATCCAATGAAATGCGACGATTGCGGAGAGATATTTACATCAGAGGTAAAAAGAGATTTTGCATTTTGGAAATTCCAAAAATCCCAAAATTAAAAAATTTCAAACATTTCTCAAATTTCTGTCATAAACTCTCTTTAAAGATTTTTAAACTTCAAACTTTCTAAAATTTTAAGAATTCATATATTTATTCTTTGCGTTGTTTCAGGTGCGTCTACGTCATCATATGATGGTCTCGCATAATCGTCTAGAAGGCACCTTGGAATGCCCACATTGTCCCAAACGATTTGTTAATCAACTGAGATTAAAAACGCACTTGATCTCGCACTCAGAGGAGAGACCTTATACTTGTGAATTATGTGGTTTCAATCTGAAAACAAAGATCCAGTTAATCAAGCACCATCAGAATCGACACAGCGAAGAGCGACCTTTGCAATGCAGGTATATTTTCAAACAAAGTCAATTCTTTAAATATCCAAACTTTCACAAAAAAGAAACTAACAAGATATAGAATACTTGAAATGTTTCTCCAATTTGTTCTTTTTACTTTTATTCAGACATTGTACGTGGCGATGCAAGCAAGTAAGCGCGTTAGTATGCCATGAGCGCACACATACTAACGAACGACCTTACGCTTGTAGCGTATGTCGGCAGCGTTTCAAGTATCTTGGTGACAAGAATAAGCACGAGCGCCGTCACGAGAGCCTTGGTGGATCCGGATTCAAGCGCATCGTGCCCGGCAGAAATGTCAGGTCGAAGGTGCGCGATCAGCAGAACCCGGAATTCGTCAAAGGCTCAGCAACTGAAGAGAACACGACGCGAATTGCTGAGGGACAATTTGAGGAGCAGCAGGATGAACCGTACGGGAATAAGTTTAAGCAAGAACAACTTGTGGAGTTCGAAGAACAACAGATAGTGAAGTTTGAAGAGCAAAATCTGTCGGAAGAGTACGAAGAGGTGTACGAACAGGTGAAGATTTCATTGATTGACAGTATAGTCTCTTAAGATAAATTCTTCCTGAGCAATCGAATAATAGTATAAATTCCATAACAATAGAGATGGCGTTGTATAAAATTAATTGTGTGACAAAGAATGAGGAGTGTATTACTTTTTTATATTTTCTCCTCGCATCTTTCGGCACTTTCTGGTTTTAACATTTGCGCATTATTTTTCTAACTTCCTATATTTCACTTCATGCTTTTTGTTTCCTCTTATTATTTCAATTGCACACTTTTTCAGGAATACGAAGAAACATCGAGGGAAGCTTCAGAGGCCACTGAGGTGATCATGAATATGGAAGATCCTGGTGTGTACACGGAAGAAGTAACTTCGGACAATATAGAGACCGCAGATATGATAACCGAGGATGAAATAATAACAGGTGACATTTTGGAGTCAGCGACTGCCAGCGGCGCTACCGCCGCTGTCGTGCATCTGCAGCAGCAAGATGACTCCGGCAAGATTCAAGTGATACCAGTCATGCTGTCGCTGCCCGATCTCTCGGATGCCAACGCTGAGGTTAATCTCGCCACCGCCTCCATCATGTATAACAATTGACTACAATTAACGTCCAATGATTAATATTGACATGTAAAATGCGATGATTACATAAACAATTTTGTTTTATGACTGCTATAATCTATAATTCGCGTCAGAATTCGAAGAAAAAAAAAAAAATCCCATGTTTCGTAATTCGTTGCATTATTATTGAATATTCTATTAATATTGAAAACTTTCACAGATTCAGAATTATATTTTAGTTAAAATCGATCTCTTATGGAGAAAAAGTGGAAATATTACCAATATGATTAAATTGAAGATTGTTATTCGAATCTGTCGTACATTATAAATCAGGTGTAATCAGACGTGTATAAATCAGACGTGTAATGTTTAGGGAAAAGAATTGAATTTTCCGTTAGATTCAGATGCTACTACAGATAAAACGCCAGCTTTGCAAATACTGATCGATTAGTAATATATCTGAAACAGTTGGAATGTTTTCGGTCAACTCGTCATTCATCAACGTAAGAATTGTAATATCAATATTCTCGCGACTTTGAAGGAAATTCTTGTAATCTGGATTCATTTTCGCAATTTTCTTTCGATAAATATAAGTAAGAACACAATAATTAAATTTTCAACTGTCAGTAAATACAGGAAGTGTGACATCAACAAGAATTTTTACGTGGCTAAGCTTGAGACCCTGTGGATTTCAATGTAAAAGAAATTAAAAACGATTGATATAGGAAGAGAAAATAACAATTACCGAGTTTTGATAATATTAATGACTTCTGACACACTGATTTCATAAACATTTTAAGTTTTCTTTGTCCTATGCTTTTGATATGAAAAATGGCATGAATTCTTATGAGTGTCTAAATATTATAATTGTAGACTGTGCAAACACAACACGAAGCTTTCAGCGTGAATATCGACACGGGGAACGAAACTAAATAGTTATAGTAGACTTTGAAGTAAATTATATAATAAACTAAAAAGATAGAATAATAAAACTTACATTTTATATATATATAAAGAAACATGTAAAAATATATATGCATATATATTTTATTCATAGATTTAAATAAAATTTCTTACTCTTACTATTACATTACATTACAAAATAAGTTAATAAAAAGTAAAAGCACGTCAGTTCTTCGCATTTAACATTTATCGTTACGTTTCACTTTTTCTTCTTCAAAATATTTTACCTAGTAAAGTTTTATGGTTAATATTTGCCATTTCTGAGTTTTTCTTATGACTACACTTGTTATTTTTTAGAACTTTCTTTATTATAAAATGTTTTCTCAATATCTTTATATTCTAACGAATGGAGTATAAACATTATAATATGCGTATATATATATATATATATATATATATATATATATATATATATATATCACACACATATATATGTATGTATGTATATGTGTACACACACGCGCACATACACACACACACACACATGCGCGCGCGCGTGTGTGTGTGTATATTCAAATACATTATTAATCGATCAGAATTTGCAAAGCTGGTGATCTATCTCTATTAGTATCTGAATCTAACGGAAAATTCAATTCTTTTTCCTAAACATTATATGTCTCTCTGATTTATAATACATGACAGATTTAAATAACAACTTTCAATTTAATTATATAGTTGATATCTTCAGATTTTATCTATGTTACTAAATATCATAAAAAATATTACAACATAGACTTACGCAAATACAATTGAAGACGAAGTAACATAGAAGTAATGAATTAAAAATAAAGTAATAGAGTAGACAATTTTACATTTGCACATGTAAAAACATAATAAAAAGATATATTACTTTATATTCTCTAAATGTAAAGAAAACACAGAAGAGATAAAAGTTCCCTTCTTAACAAAAACGGAAGTTACACTACTGTCTATATATAATTTTAGGAACATGAAAATAAAGAACTAAGAAAAAAGTAATTATAGATTTTAACGTTAAATAAATGAATAAGTAACATCTAATAGTAACACTGACAACACTAAAGAATTTCTTTAAATTAATTACATTTTATATCATGAATATATAAATTGTTTTGTATACATATATGCAATTATACATATATTATACATATAAACATAAAAATTAACATAATATTGTAAAAGTATATAATTATCTTATAGCTGCGTTCCTAAACTGTACGATGGTAGTGTACACATATGTAACAATAACTCGATATGTGACGTAAATACACTCCTGTTTATTGGAATTCCAATGCCAGGTGTCTCTTTAAGATGTAGGTGTAGAATTTACTTTGTGTATATATTAATGATAATGAAATAATTAAATAATTAAAGTATTACGACTCTCTCAATGAAATTTCTCGGGAAGACGATTTATTTTGTTCTTATTCATTATAATTTAACAATATATTTACTGGTATTGCAGTTTCTATGGACAGTAGTGATATATTCGTTATACTGTATCAAATGATTATAAACTAAACTCATTAATTGTCCCACTTTGTAAATGTATTTTTAATTCAGTTTTTTTTGCGGCTTAGAATTTGGAAAAACAAATATATTTATGATAACTTCTCGGATCTTTTAAGATTTTAAGATTTTTCAATTTTTTATATTTTTAGAATTTTCATTTTTATTTAAAATCTTTCGATAGTAAACTTCTTGGACTCTTATTTCAGATCCTTGAATTTTCTTTTTATATGGATAGATGTTTAGATTTTTGAATGATTACTTTCTCCAGTCATTGAAATGTAGGTCTCTTATTATGAATCCCGATGCTTTTTGAATTCTTCAATTATTGAGATCTGGTGTAGTGTGTGTATGTGTGTGTGCATATATATATATATATAATATATACACATACATACATACATATATATATATATACACATATACATACATACATATATATGTATATATAATGTGTGTATATATGTATATCACAATGTACCCCATTCGTTAAAGTATAAAGATATTGAGAAAACATTTTATAATGAAGTAAGAAAGTTCTAAAAAATAACAAATGTAGTCACAAGAAAAATTCAAAATGGCAAATATTAATCGTAAAACTTTATCATGTAAAATATTTTGAAGAAAAAGTAAGACGTGATAAATGTTATTATTATGATAAATGTTAAATGCAAAGAACTGACGTACTTTTATTTTTTATGGATTTATTTTGTAATGTAGTGTAATAGAGAGAGTAAGCAATTTTGTTTAAATCAATAAGTCAAATATATATGCATGCATCTGTGTATGTTTGTGTGCGGGCGCGTATGCCTATTGTTATGTAATTACATAAGCACATCATTATCGTACTGATTCTCGCAAGCATTATTGTGTTACGCGATTCTATTTCAATGTAGGCGATTCGTGGATTAACGTCATTACACATGTGCGTATGCAGGAAGTTTGCTTTTCCTGCTATACTTTCTGCAGTTGTTATTTTACATACAATTGCAATTATTTTCTTGCAATTTTTCCGCTATCTTCCTTTTTCGCTTTTCTCTCTAAGATATAAAATATTTAAGGATATTCACCATGCATGGATATTCATGTAATGCATTATTTCATAATAGCGAATTCTTTCACTTATATAGAACAGAGTTTCTTTTAATAAAAACGTCATTATATATTGCGTTTCTTAAATTTTTACTATCATATTAAGGTTGCTGAGCAGTAATCTTTTTTTTTTAAAAGCCTTATGGTCGATTGTTCCAATCTTTTAGTAAGTTAACTAACAGTTAAATTATATATCTCTGTCTAATTCAAAAAAGTAACAAAAACAGATGTGAGTTAATTAGCTTATCAAGAAGTTGGAAAAATTAGCCTTTAAGGATTCTAATTAGCATGTTTTTGAGGTCTTACCTGAGAGTTCAGAGAGAAACCGAAGGTTTCGTAATATTTTTATACCAAACTTTTGCAAGAGCATACAGGACTGCTGATATTGGAAGAATTGTAGAATCTCTAGATCATGGAATTCATCTAAAATTATAATTTATTTGTCGATTATAAAGCAGAATATTTTCATAATTACCTAAGGACTGACTTGATAACTGTGAATAGCTACTTAGTAACATTAACAAAGTGGCAGGTGTACTTAAATAAACTATGTATATTCTATGAATACTAATAAATAATATTGATATTAATAAAAATAATCGGTAAGTCGGGAAAAAAGGATTGGTTTGACGTCGTAGGAATAGCGACATTAAGATCCGGAGGAAGGTTTGGATGGGGGTACGTAATTATTACTTACATATATAAGACTCTACTATTCTTTCGCAATATTCAATTATCGCGCAAATTCAGCTCTTACTGGCCTTACAATTTTTTACATGTATGTTTTATTTATAATTTTTATTACTGTACAAGACGTATCAGTTCTCGCGACTTTAGCTGATACGACAGTGGTCTGAGCTCAAATATAGAAAACTATCTTAACATAGGATGTCGAGGCTATAAAAGTTCTTAAATGAGAAAAGTTCTCAAAATGTTTTTTATTTAAAAATTATTATAGCCTCGATATCTTATGTAAAGATTTTTGTCTCTGAGTTCAAGAAACTGTCATATTAATTAAAGTCGCGAGCAATTGGGGGGCACTTGTATATCATTTATTTTATTTCTATCTACATTGAAAATATTAGACTCTGCAATCTTCATTTATACAAGATAAAATTCTATTTTACACATAGTATAATTATTGTGGATATACAGGATGATGTGTACAAAAAAAGAAAGTACTATTTAACAAAAAGTATTATTTAAAAAAAGTTAAAATGTTTGAAGCTTTGCAGAAATGTAGAGTATATATAAAATTAGTTACATAGATATTTCTTATTTTGGCAGAAAAACTGGAGATTTTCGAACGAATAATCATCTAGCTCTGGAGTATTCCAGATTCAAAAGATTAAAGAGAATTTGTTCAAATATTTGGAAATATTTCTTCATTTCAGTACACATCACGCCCCAGCAATATCAAACGATCATAAATCTTTTCATTTCCTCATTATTTAAAGGGATATTTAAGTCACATTCCATGTGCCTCACTCTCTCTCTATACAATTATTTTTGAAAATAATTAATAATTTCTTAATTGTAATATACTTTTAGCTATTTGATTCATTTTGTATCAAGGCTTTGGTAATATTCCGCGAGCACTTGCCACGCTTTGGGTGACATGAAGCCGTCCGGTGGATTTTGGCCGGCTTTTGCCAACCCTACAAACAATGAATTTATCAATTAGTATGTAACAATTACCGTATTAATATAATTCGGTAAGTTAGGTAAGACAAATCAATAAAGCAGTCAACTAAGTGTAGAACATATTCATAATTGAAACTTGCCTCGCATCTTAGTGCCCGAAATGAACTCGAAATCCTGCTTTCTCTCAGGCTCAAAGAAAGCCATCTTGGCGTGTCTGCTGTCGTAAGCAGCTACGCGAAAAGGGATTATTTCGAGGCTGTGGAGACCTCGAGCCATGGAGAGTACGCGAGCTCCATGAGTAGGATCGTAAAGATTACCGTCAGGTGTAGCGTTCTTGTCGGGGTGCGGAATACCTGCTGGATCTCTGCCGACTATGTAGAAGTTTGCGCCAGCGTTCATTCTGGCTTTCGCGTGCCACTGCACCTGTGGAACAATCGCATCAGTTATAATTTCAATTCAAGGTGTTTAATAAACGTAGAAATGCATGAGATGTGTTAATACGGTTCTCCAACTTCGCACCTCAATTGGTCCAGCATACATCATAGGACTAGGAAAGATGGCGAGCAGCGTGGAATTGGCATCTAATACGTCCTCATCTAGGATGGCTTTGTGTTGAAGGATCCTGGTATACAAAGGAACGTCGTCGTCTTTCGTCCAACCACCTAACGGATGCAGCAGCAGCACGGGATTTTTGAAACCTCTTTCTTCCAATAAACGTTTTCTCGTGTCCTTTGTAACAAATATAGCAAAAGAATACGTTTAGTTAATGCGATGTACGGCAACATATAAACAGGTATTAATTTGTAGAAAGGAAGAAAAACTATATTTAAGAAGAAGAAATCCCTTAGATCCAACAATTCGCTCTAACAAACGACAAACCTGCATCAGTAGCGCATGACCATTGTGTATAGGGTTTCTCAATTGAAAAGCGAACACTGCGTCGGCCCTCATCTTACGACACTTATTGCGGATCTCATTGGGCGTGAGTCGATATTTGTCGAGGCCGTCATGCCACTGGATCCTCTCGAGTACTTCGAGATCGCCGCCCATTAACCAGTCGCCAGAATTGTGAATCAGTTTGACGTACGGATGAGCTAAATTATTGGTAGCAAATTGCCAGCTGCAACGCTCTTCCTTTCGATGAAAATAGAAGTCTGGTCTTCGCACAATTGCTACAGCCTTGCCTTGATACCTTAATGTTACGGCGAACGAGTCTTCCAGACGGTCCTTATCTGCTGTGCTAATGGCCAGTACGATAGGCACCGATTGGTTTACTTCCTTGCCGTCCTCCAGCAGACATCGTAAATGCTGGGCCTTAAATGGTATTGTCGAATATGTAATAGAACAATTGATGTGATGAAGCCGGAAAATGATGATGTGAGATTACGCGAAGAGAAAAAAATTTGTTTAAAAGAGAAGAAGAATCGTACTTGTAGGTACTGATGCTCCCTCATGAATCCCGTTAGCGGTGCCGCCCAACCTTCCGCCAAAACCTGCACCCATTGCAAATCAAGTTTACTGATTTCCACGCTCGGAAGAGTTTCAGCTTCTGCTTTTGTAGCAGCTAGTCTGGAATGTGGCACGAAGAGCTCTCTGATCGGTGCTGTGGGCTTTTTCAGCTGTGGAATTATGTGGTTTTTCTCCAAAAACTCGATTACAGTCAAGGCGGATTCTTCAGGGGTGCAATTTTCCGTCTTGACAACCAAATCAGGCTGCACCGGTCGTTCATACATCTGATCGATGCCGGTAAAACCCTTGATGGTGCCCTCGCGAGCTTTCTTGTACAGACCTTTGGTGTCGCGAGCCTCACAAACTTGTAATGGCGTGTCGACAAACACTTCGAAGAACGGCAAGTCAGCTTCCCTGCAGATCAGACATCCTCGAATAAGAGAAAGCAAAAGAGAAGAGGAAAATATACAGAATTATCTGACGATTACATATAAAATTGTCATATACGCGTAAATTAGGTCAACCTGAACAAAACTTTCTTTGCTATTTTACAAACAACCATATAAAATTTTGAATAAACTTGAAAAAACTTGGCGAATAATCGCGCCAATAATAAGTTAATATTGAGAAAAATTATTTGCGCTTCCCTGGTAAAAAAAGTTTATAGAAAACGATAGAATAAAATTCTATCGTTCTATCGTTTTATATCGTTTTGAATATGGATTTTGGTTCGTGAATTCATAAATGTGAATAGTATTCTATCGTATACAATAGAATACAATAGATAGTGATAGAATTTCTATCGTTAGTTTCCTATAGAATACAAAATCGTGTATAACCAGATAAAATACGATAGGATTCATATCTGAACTTACGAGCGAGAACGATATAGCTTAAAAAAACGATTCAAATTGATAGCGCTATCAATTTGAATCGTTTTCTTTAAGCTATATCATTCTCGCTCGCAAGTTTAAATATGAATCCTATCGTATTTTATCGTATTTTATCTGGTTATACACGATTTTGTATTCTATAGGAAACTAACGATAAAAATTCTACCACTACCCAGTAAAACACAAAATATCTATATTACAATGTCAGCTCAATCATATGGTATATTATGTAACTGTTACTTTGTTATATAAAACGTACATGTTACGTAATATACCATATAATTGAGCTGACATTGTAATGTCGATGATACTTTGTGTTTACTGGATATCTATTATATTCTATTGTATACGATAGAATACTATTCACATTTTGTAAATTCACGAACCAAAATCCATATTCAAAACAATAGAAAATGATTATTTTATTCTATCGTTCTCTATAAACTTTTTTTATCAGGGCTGTTTGTAAAATTTCCCTCCCTCTTTTTTCCCCTTCTTACATTTATCTGAATCAACCTCTACCTATGGATCTGCCTAGCCACTTGTCGGTCCTCCTCGAAGGGAGATACGAAACTGCATAGGCAAATTTGCCCGCTGTCAGCAAACAGTTTCGCCACTTCTGCCACCCTGCGAATGTTCTCCTTGCGGTCCTGCTTGCTGAAGGACAGATTACGATTTAAGCCGCTGCGCACGTTGTCACCATCCAAGCCGTATGCGGGAATGCCGTGGTTCACCAGGATCGCCTCCACTTGGAACGAGATGGAAGTCTTCCCGGCACCCGACAGACCTGTCAGCCATACCGTACAGCCCCGGAAGCCGCGGATACAGCCGATCGCCTGACCTCGCTTCGCCCGCGATACATGATGTGCCTGCTCTGACACGTTTGTGCATGTCTGCAAGAAACGTTATATTAATTTTCGAATAAATTTTATTGTAGAAAGGTATTATATTGCCAAAACGAAAAATATGTACACAATAAATTAGCGAAGTCAGGCACACTAAGGCCTCTGCTCGCCGCGGTTATCTTGATTTACGACGCTAGAAGAGAAATGCAAAATTTCTGTAATGTCGAAATAAAAAAATATGTCCAAAAGATAACATTTGCGATCGATTAGGCACACTAAAATATTTCGCATACTTTTTTTGCTCTTATAATCAGTAAATAATCGTAAAATTAACGTGACAAAAGAATGTAATGAGAAAATGTAAGTTGAAAAGGAAGATTGAATTTATTTTTAATTTTTATTTTTTCTATTTATTGTTTGAGCGAAAAGAAAAAGTGTGTTTGGAATATTTTACAGGTGCTTTTTAGAGGAGAGTATTTTACGTGTGCTTCGGTAATCGATTGCAAGTGTCATTTTTTTAATATATTTTTTCTTTAATATATATTTCGACTTTGCAAGAATTTTGAGCCTGCATCTCCTCACTTCTGACATCATTAATCAAGAATTCCATGAAAAATAACCAGGAGTCTTAATGACATCTTTATTTAAGATATCTATTTGTCTTAATGACTTTTCTATTTGAGATATCTGAGATATCTTGGATACTGTTTAATGTCGAATAAACAGTGAATAAACAATGGATTGAGATCAAAGCAGAACTTGTTGTATAGTAGACCGAGCCCAAATCAAAATGGGGCAAAATTATTTTAGTACTAATACAAAATATACAAAACAGATATAACATTATTTGAAATATTATATCGTGTTCTAATCACATGGATATGTGATCCTCACATGTACATATAGCTGAGAACAAAATATACTTTGATTATTTTCATCTTTCTAGCTGTATTTGATAATATAAAAAGATAATTTCTTAGTGCAATGCTAACTATACTTTTGTTTTAATTAAAATTGAAGATCTTACTGAAATTTTTCTTTATCATTATTTAGCAATGGGAAATATTTAGAGCACCTCCTTTAAAATAATCCTTGTGAAATAATCAGACAAAACCAATATTTTTAATAGTCTCTGATCTGTGCAAGTGGTACTTTGAACGGTGCTAAGGAAAAGTTACCCCCCATTCCCTCACCTCTGAAGGGGGTTGTGATCCCTACATGATCCCAAAAGACTAGCGCCTCGGGACCACGAAGAATGCCCAAAACCGCTTCTATCTAAAACAGGAAAAAAAACACGAAGAGGAATTACTTTATGGACACCCGTCATATTTGAAATATACAGAAAAATATATTTCATTACTCTATGATTTTTTTTCCTTCTAATTTTGTCCCATTTTAGTTGATTTGTGGTCCACTACACATCAAAAACAAAAAAAAAAATTGTTTTAATATTAACAATGTCTACAGGGTATATGATTTATTTTATAATCTATTTCTTTCTTTCTTCATATTTACTAATATTATCACTTTTAGAGCAATATTTTTTTATGAGGTTTAAATATATTATACTATAATATAAAACAATAACATGGTATAATATTAAAAATAATGATGGAGAGAAAGAGAGAGAGTGAGAAGAAAAAACAGAAAAAGGAGGAGATTGTGTGCGGATGTATGTATGTGGGTGTTGTATATATGTATATATTTAATCTAATCTGCGCTATCATAGAGCAGTTTTTTTTATAATACAGCAGCAAATATAAGATACGGTTTAACTTTTGTGCGAGATAAAAGGACGTATGAAAGATAAGGAGACGTATGAGAGATAAGGAGATGGTGCAGACAGTGTGAGAAATAAGCGACTTACGAAGGGTCTGTTTTCTAAAGTCTGTTTGCTGAACTTACACTTTCGGCATTTAAAAAGAGAACAAATATACAGATAAAATTCGGTGGGAGGAAGATAAGAGAGAAATAGTGCCAGTTTAGCGATAGAAAACAGACCCATAGACTTTATCAAATTAAATATCGTATGGAGTATTCTCACGGTAGCCAATTAGTAATATTGTGAAAGCGATATTATGCGAATGATACTCACCGTCATTAATTTTTTACTCGGAGCGTTCTCGTTGCACGACATGACGTGTTACCGATTATATACGTGGCTAATTGCTGCGACCAAACGTGACACCCCGTGTCAACCGTGACCGGTGCCACTGGCTGCTACTGGATCAGAGAGAGACCTGAGAGACCTGAGAGACCTGAGAGTGGTTACACGTCGGCGTTTTGGTCGACATCAATTTCGACGAGCGTTCGATACGCCACCCATTTCAAATCAGACTTACATTTGCTACACCCATTTTCAGGCGCTGTTGGTAAAGTCTCTATTTGGTGCGTGTCCGTGCTACAAGGAAATAATAATATTCGAACAAATCATAAATTATAAGAAGGACTAAAGAGTCTAAGTTGCGTATTTATGCGCTATGAAATTTAATCTTAAAAATAATTTTACATATAATAATTTTACATATAATTCATTGACCGTTGCGACATTAATTTTATATTGAAGAGGACTATATCGTATGGTCGTATATGTACAATTATTTTTAAGATTAAATCATAGCGCATAACATACGCAACTTAGCCTCTTTAGTCCTTTTTATAATTTATGATTTGCTCAAATCTAAAGCCGCATAAAATAAATCTTGTTTATAATTTTGAATAATATTCCACATAGATCATAGTATCAAAATCATGATGAAATCATAAATTATAAATTATAAATTATAAAAGTTATCGGCCGACATCTTTAACGACACCGACAACTGTCGGTAAGTAATTACAGAACCCAATCGCTAGACTTAGTGCGGAACAGAACCTAGTCATTTTTATCATACGACGGACAAGTTTCTAATATTTATCGCTAAGAACTATGGCACTCTCAATACGGAATTCTTGCCGCGCACAGATAATTAATAATTTTCGTTATAAGTACTTCTTTTCTTCAGAAACTGACAGTGGATCGGCGTTGATGGTTTTGCAGCATTGTGTGTGAATTTGTAAAATTTTATATTTGCAAGTTTTTCATTCTCTCTCATGTTAATGCGAATAACTCTACATTTTTGCTTTTCAGAGGCTTTTTAGTCGTAGTGCATTTTATAAACTAAACCCATATATATAACCGCATGGATAGCTTTGGTGAAACTATTAATTCATACTACTGATACAAAGTTATTTACAACCCTTATAGAAACTTAATACTAATAAGTGATAATTTGGCCAGCGATAATTACTGTCGTTCAATAATTTTATTACTCGTACAAGTAATAAAATTACTATTTATTACTGGCCAATTTATCACAGCCAGTGATACTTTTCTATAAGGGAAGTAAACCTACCCAAAAGGTACACTCCGATTTCTTTCTAATTTGGCACAAATATAGAAGTACAAAAAATATTTAGATCATATTTTTTCATTTTGGCCCACTTTGAGTTTCACGGGCAGTTTATAGCTTTTTTATGTTCTCACTCCTATCATCGAATTGTAGATCTACTCATAAGTTCTTACGAGTCTTATAAGAACAAGTTACGAGTTTTACGATTTTGTCTAGAATTGCAGTATTAGATTTGTAAAAAATATGTTTTCCTCATCTTTTCGCTAGTATTTCGAATATTCATAATAGATGCAGAAACACTGTCAATCAAGAATATCTCTTTAACTACATTATTATTATTTCTTGACTGATTCAAGTCTTGATTCACGTTACGTTCTCCCGGGAACTTGTTAAATTGTACACCGATCAGTGTGGTTCTTTTGATTCCATGTAGTGTCCTTATTGGCAAAGGAATCTATAGTAACACGTTTAGCAAAACAATTCCAACATTATCACAAAGTGACATTGATGACAAATATAAAATAATCGTATGTGCAATACACTTTATATAACTTAATGAGTTACTCACGGATGAACAGCATTAAGTAGTTTATTTTATCTTTTTCTTCTAACAGTCCTAAAAAGGTCCTTAGCCTCAGTGAGAATTGTCCTCCATTGATCTCTGTCCCTGGATCTTGCCTTCCAATTATGCACGCCTAGCCGTCTGATGTTGTTCATCACCAGCGGAGTTTTACCCCTGGTTTTCTATCATCGATATGATTTTCAAAGATTTTCTTACACGGATTGTTTCATTAACTCTTTAAACGTTGTTAGTCTATATAAACTTCTAACATTCCATGTTACAAAGTTCATCTCGTTGTTAATTAGTTGTAGCCACAAGAAAAGAAAAGATTTTCTACATATGGACAACTAAACATAATTAGCCACTTTTTTGCTGCAGGAGCCAATTTTCTTGCTAGAATAACAAGAAAATCTGCTCCTGTAATAAAAAAAGTAGCTAAAACAGTAAATTCCCAGACAACATCTTGGACAACATAATGTCTAAAATCGGGATATAAGACGTCTTAAAGATCATCTTTAAGATGTCTTTCAGACGATTTACGTATAAATGTCTTTAAGGCGTTTTAAAGATTATCTTTAAGACGTCTTATGTCCCGATTTTAGACATTATGTTGTCTGGATTATGTTTAGTTGTCATCTGTAACAAATTTGCTGCATTAGCCACTTTTCTTACTGTAGGAGCAAATTTTCTTGTTATCATAGTAAGGAAATAGGTTTCTGCAAAGAAAAAGCTAACACAACAAATTATATTTAACTGTCCATGTGTAGCAAATTAGTTTGCTGCTACAGCAAATCCTTTTTTTCCGTGGCAGTTTTGTCTCCGGTTCTTCCATCCGATCCGAGACCTCTTCTCCTGTCTGCTAATAATAGTTTTTGACGGGGATAGGTTATCGACCTATCACCCAACCCCCAATCTGGAGGATCAGGATACCTATTATGGACTTCTTCGGAATCAATTCCGATCGAAATAATTCCGTTTCCCCTAGAAAAGACAATAGAAATCTAGGAAATAACTGAATGTTTCCGATCGGAATTGGTTCCGAAGAAGTCTATAATAGGTACCCAGTTGTCTGCCCCCTTTCGTTCCCTGTACTTCCACCGAGAATTGGTGCTCGATCTCGGCACAGGGTTAACAGCACCACCACTTGACGGCGGGGCAGACCGGGAAGGAGAGGTGAGAGGCTTCATCTCTTGACAGATCTGCCATTCGGTGCACATCACTTCCCAAATGGTGCCTCATTTTATCTTAGATATTCATTAATTTTATTCATACACTCTAAGACCAATATTTATTGTCGGGTTTTATACTTAAGATCGTCTTAAGTTTATCTTCAGATGCTTTGTAGCCAATAATAGATGGTCATCCGTAGATTATCTAAAGATGAATTTAAGATGGTCTTAAATATAAGACCCGACTATGAATACTAGCCTAAAAAGTAAGACTTCACTTCAAGGTAGTGAAAACTGCATCACTCAAAGTTAGAGCGAGAACTTCACTCCAAACGAGTGAAAACTCACTCCAAGCGAGCATTTTCAAGTTTACAGTATTTTCAATTCAAGCAGTATTTGAAGTTCTCGCTCTAACTTTGAGTGGCGCAATTTTTACTATCTTGGAGTGAAGTCTCACTCCAAGAAACTTAGAGTGTATAACGTTTATTTTTCATTAATATTGAAAAATGGAATCTACCTACCTCACATATACACACAAACACACGTCACGTTTATACAGGGTGGATCAGCAGTAACTAAACTATGAACCATAGTTAGAACTAAATGTTCTGGTTGGCTGTCAGAATATTTTATTATAATAAGCGGAAGTTCTGTTTTGTTCAATTAAATTTTGTTTAACCGAATATATCACTTTAATCCAAGCATAGTTATTCTTTCCGCACATAAAAATATTATTTACAATATTAGATTGTTCTGTGTAACCGAGCAGCACTATTACACTTACATTCCATTTACATATAATAGTAATTTTATAGTTATAATGGCTTCTGGTACAACTTATCTATTAAGTCGCAAAAACTGTTGTTGTTCGCCATGAAAAAGAGTTCGGAGATAAAGATCTTGTCAGCCCGAAAGATATACATATTTTCTCTAGAAAGTTTTACTTTGGTAAAGTAACTACGTAACATATGCGACAAAGTCCTAAATAAAAGAATGCCAATATACGCACAAATCTATACAATTTCTTAGATCATCAAAACTTTTTTTATTTAGACCATCAAAACTTCAGTCTTTTACTTTACAATACTGTCATCCGTCAACCAGCAATGACTGACGACCAATAATTGCCACCACCCGTTTAGTAAAATATCTTCAACATTCCACAGAAATGACATTGCAAATAGTATTAAAGGATAGTTATTCCAATATGGTTGCACAGTTTAACGTCTTAGAGCAATAAATACGTTTATTTTATTATTGAAACAAGAAATTTAAAAAAACTTTTCCTACCACATACATACAATTACATTAAAGAGCATCATCTTCTGTTTTTGCAAAAAATGCGTTTTCTGCATCTTTTCACGATTATTTCGAATATTCACAATAGACGCAGAACCACACTATCTATCAAGAGTATCTCTTTAACTAATATTATTATTTTTCGATCGATTCATGCAGAACCCTCTGCAGAACTTGTTAAACTGTACAGCTGTTCTTTTCCCCTTCAAATTAAACTTTATGGCTTCTGTCAATCAGTATAGCAATACTATCCCACTCCAGTACCCGCCCTCTTTCCCTGGCTATATTTGTTATATAGATTTGTATGACAATTGTAATTTTTCGCAAGTTGCGCCGTTGCTCTCCCGATACACGATTCAACGAAAAAGAAACTTTTTATCGTCGCTCGTTTCCTATGTCGCTCGAAACTTAGTCGACCATGCGATATAGAATTTCTTCGGCAACTATGGACGTTATTATTTGGAGTCGTTATTACGGTTTTGTCGAAAAGTTTACGCTATTCACAGGTATGTGGCCATATCTGAAGCCGAGAACAAGACGCCTCCGTATCAGCCTGATGACGATGATGGCAGTAACTGTATTCGTTCCGCAGGTAAATCGACCATGTAATCGCGAAGGGTAACTTGTCGCGATTAATTGATATTTCTAGATTGATATTTCTAGATTGCATTTCAAACCCGGTGCAATAAAAATATGCAATGTATCCTCACGTCGATATCAGATTTGTCGTTCACTATCGTAGCCGTCGTGGCGTTGTATACGTTTCCAATAAATATTTCTAAGGTATGTTATGTAACATCCGTATTTTATATATATAGGATGTCTGCCAATTCATAACACACTCGTCGTGTGTAGATACAACTCATCAAACTGAACAGAAAATTTCTCTACCATCTTGTAAATAACAACGTAAAATTTGGTGTTATTGATTGCAGAAGATTAGAGAATGATGATTGGTAGTATGATATGATAGATGAGCTGTGATGGCGACGTCTGTCATCGTGTATATTAAGTGAAACTGGAGAAAAAGTCTGTTACATTTTGCAAATAATCACGTAAATTTTAAGTTATTAATTAAGGAAAATTAGAAAATTCTCGCACTTGCAACGATCTACTAGTGACTAAGAATCTGTGTGGTCATTTGCAAACTAGTAAATTCTTTCCTCCTTCTTTTTTTTTCTACCAGCATAGAATGACAAGTGTCGCCATTACAACTTATTTATCGTATTGCGTGTAATTATTAATTTTATTTAGCTAATAATTCAAAAGTTCATTTGGTTATTTGCAAAATGGTAGGAGAATTTTGTATTCAGTTTGCTGAGTTTTAGCTGCACACAATGGATGTGTCATGAATGATCAGACACACTGTATATGCTAGAAAGTGCCATTTAACATTAATATTACATTGACGTTATAATTTCCATTCAACAAGTGAAAAAAAATAACATTGATGTGTAATGTTATACTGTCAGTTGGCATTTACTAGAATTGAATTATTCGGATATGTATCTAATTTGGAATTTGGATATACAGAGATATTGATCAAATATCTCGCTTCGGATATTTGTAAGCTTATTCTTCGCGTTTTGCTATTAACAATTGCTTCGTTAGATTAAATATCTTACTGAAAGCTTGCGCATCGGCTGGAGAGAATTGGAAACAGACGAGGAGATCGAAATAGCCAAATCGCATGCCAAGTTTTGTAAACGTTTCTCCATGGTATACTCGGGTAAGCATCAAGGATGATCTATCTGATTCGCATTGCGCTTCCTTCACTCCAGAAACAACTCGTGTTTTGCAGCGTATTGCATCTTAGGGACATATGTATTCATGTCGGTACCCATTGTAGTGCCCATACTCGATGTTCTATTGCCCCTCAACGAATCTCGACCCACTCTACTACCACTTTCTGTATACTACTTTGTGGATCCTAGGCAAAATTTAATTTACATTTGTGGATATGCTATATTCTCTTGTGGAATAGTGATGACCGCTATAATCGCCCACGATTGCATGTTCGTGACCTTCGTCGAACACGTTTGCTGTATGTTTTCTGTGCTCGGGTAAGAGGACAATTCCGTGACATAAGAAGATATACCTCATTGTAAAATATATTAATGATATGTTGAAAAAGCAAGTACAAAAACGTCGTGAGAGTTGCTTGTAGATCACGCTTCAAATATTTACTTTGTGTTGATTCCGATAACACTGAGAAAAACGCAAAGGCTGCTTCTGACAAGATCTATCGTCAAAAAATCGCGCAATTCGTGTGTACACATCAGAAAATCTTAAAGTAAGTATATTGTCGTCGAGTATAAAGAAATTTCTGAATTTCTTCGAGAAATTCCACTTGAAATTCTACTCGAAAAATAGAATGATAACCGAATCGAGTGATTCGAGTGACCTTCCATTATATACAGGATGTTCCAGACTCTTCTACGCAAATTTTGTGAGAACGATTTGAGGTGAACATAAAAGTCCTATAGCGTTATGCGATATTTACAATAATAGCCAAGATATTAATTGTGAAAAATTAAAGAAAAAACGCGCGCTGATTGGTAGGGAGAGGAGTGCTCGAGTTGCTCGACCTATAGTTCGGCCCAATAATATAGTCCGCAGATCCGGCGCGCGGCAAGGAAAAGGACAATGCTCCGTTGCTTGTGTTTATATCATCGCGCTACAGGTCGAGCAACTCGAGTGCTCCTCTCCTTTTTCTGTCCATCTTAATCCGTTCTACGTTATCACAAAAATTGTGAAGGAGAGTCTGAGATATTCTGTATATCCAGCGAATTCCTCCTGTAATTTCGAGTAGCTGTAATATTGCATTACTATTTGGAGTGAATTTTCAATCGTTTCTAATGAAATTTCACTTCGAAAAATTTAGAAATTACAATATAATACTGTATCAGAACATATAAAAATAACGTAATACAGCGGTACTGTTTAATTTCAACCATTATTTATTTCAGGTTCGTGAAACTTATGGAAAGTACTTTTAGCATACCTCTCGCTGTACAATTAATAACAGTTATCGTGTCAATAAGCTGTACTTTGTTACAAGTATGTGCATTGATTTATTATAGAATTTTTTTTAAATCGTAAAAAATTAAAGTGTCACTTTTTTGTACTTGAGATAACGAAGCAGGAAGCCGGGGCTATAGAGGCAACGAGGTACGCATGTTACGTGATGGGTCAACTGTTTCATTTGTTTTGCCTCAGTTTCGAAGGACAAAAATTGACCGATTACAGTCTTGGGATGCGTAACAAAATGTAAGGATATCGTTTCATGGTTTACCTGAGACAAGCTAATTCCTAATTGTATTCTTTTCGGCAGTTCCTGTAGATCGCGTTTTTTTGAAACGTTGCAGATACAATAGTTCGTGGTATCAAACATCCATAAGATCACAGAAGCTGCTTATTATGATGATGATGCAGAGTTCGCAGCCGACCTTTGTGAGCGCCGGCAAAATTTACATTTTCTCATTGGAGAGCTTCACTATGGTAAAAGAAGTCGTCGTTACAGAGCGTGTCTTTTTATAGATAATGATGGAAATTATACGTAATAACCATATCCTTTGTATTCTTGTTTCAAAGGTAGTGCAAACGTCGGTGTCTTACTTTACCGTTCTCGCATCATTTCAATAGAACTATGATTCATATTAGTGCTGCATCTAACAATTACACTATTGCTATTCCACATTGGATAGTACTATTAGTACTAATATCTCATATTAGATAAAATATGTGTATGCTTAATTCTTTTATCATAATAACTTTATTATAATAGCTTCGAATTGCGAGATAATTCAAGAAAAGAGGAGAGACAGTAGTTATATAGTTGATTAATATTTACTGTAGTTCAATAGATTAACACAGTAAAATATAAACGACAATAATCACGAAACGTTCAGTGCTTTCTACATTTGTGCACATCAATCTTGCACTCTTTATTCCAACTGCTTTCACCTCTATTTCCCATAATGACATAGTACTTTACTTATGCCATGCACTCGATATGTACTGTATGAGGTAAGCTAAGAAGTGTTAAACCGTTTTCAATAATATCGTATAACTGATTATCATAAGTATTGTTACGTTAAGATGCCTGTACTAACAGCCAATTATTGTCACACACACACCACCATATTTTAGTAAAAGATTTTCAACATTCCACAAAAATGACATCGCAAACAGAATTAAGGAGTAGTTATTCCAGTATAGGTGCACTGTTTAACGTTTTAAAATAATAAACACAATTATTTTATTATTGAAACAAGAAATTAAAAAAATTTTCCTATCACATACGATTGCATTAATGAGCATCACCTTCTGTTTCTGCAAAAAATGCGTTTTCTGTATCTTTCGCGATTATTTCGAATATTTACAATAGACGCAAAACCATACTATCTATCAAGAATATCTTTTTTGCCTATTATTACTTTTTGATCGATTCATGCCCCCTGCAGAACTTACTAAACTGTACAGCTGTTCTTTTCCCCTTCAAATTAAACTTTATGGCTTCTGTCAATCAATATAGCAGTACTATCCCACTCCAGTACCCGCCCACTTTCCCTGGCTATATTTGTTATATAGATTTGTATGACAATTGTAATTTTTCGCAAGTTGCGCCGTTGCTTTCCCGATACACGATTCAACGAAAAAGAAACTTTTTATCGTCGCTCGTTTCCTATGTCGAAGAGACTCGAAATTCAGCCGACCATGCGATATAGAATTTCTTCGGCAACTATGGACGTTATCTGGAATCGTTATTATGGTTTAGTCGAAAAGTTAATGCTATTCACTGGTATGTGGCCATACCTGGAGTCAAAAACAAGACGCCTTCGTATCGGCCTGATGACGATGACCGCAGGAACTATATTCGTCCCGCAGGTAAATCGACGATGTAATCGCGAAGTGTCTCGTGACTTGTCGCGAGACGATTAATTAATATTTCTAGATTGCATTTCAAGCTCGGTGCAATAAGAATGTGCAATGTATCCTCACGTCAATATCAGATTTGTCGTTCACTATCGTAGCCGTCGTGACGTTGTATACGTTTCCAATAAATATTTCTAAGGTATGTAACATATGTATTTTATATATACAAGCTGTCTGCCAATTTATGACACACTTGTTGTGTGCAGATACAAGTCATCAAACTGAAACAGAAAATTTCTTTACAATTTTGTAAATAACCATGTAAAATTTTGCGTTATTGTTTGAAGAAGATTGATAAATGATCACGTACGATATGATAGGTAAGCTGTAATGGCGACGTCTGCCGTCGTGTAATTGTATATTTGGTAAAATTGGAAGGAAAAGTCTTTTACATTTAAAAGAAAAAACTATGTACATTTTTAGTTATTAATTAAATAAATTGGAACATGATTGTCGCATTTGCGACGATCTACTAGTAATGAAAAATCTACGTATTTAAAAATTTTTTTTAGGTAAAATTTCACTGGAAACTATTGAAAATTCTCTCCAAACAGTAATGCAACTCCTACTTGAAATTACAAGAGAAATTTACTGAATATCGCAGATTCTCCTCCACGATTTTTGTGATAACGTAGTATGGATTAAGATGGACATAAAAGTCCTATACCGTTTTGCGATATTCGCAATAATAGTCGAGATATTAATCGAGCTCTCCTCTTTCTACCAATCAACGCGCCTTTTTTCTTAATTTTTCACAATTAATATCTCGACTATTATTGCGAATACTTTTTCGTTCTTCTTCTTTTCTTCTACAAGTATAAAATCGCCATTACAACGTATTTATCGTATTACGTTTAATTATTAATTTTATTTAGCTAATAATTTAAAAGTTCATTTGGTTATTTGCAAAATGGTAGGAGAATTTTGTATTCAGTTTGCTGAGTTTTAGCTGCACACAATGGATGTGTCATGAATAATCAGACACTCTGTATATCCTAGAAAGTCCTATTTAACACTAACATTACATTGACGTTATAATTTTCCGTTCAACAAGTGAAAAATTATAATATTGATATGTAATGTTATACTGTCAGTTGGCATTTACTAGGATTGGATTATTCGCATATGTATCTAATTTGAAATTTGGAAATACGAGATATTGATAAAATATCTCGCTTCGGATATTTGTAAGTGTATTTTTCGCGTGGCGCTATTAACAATTGCTTCGTTAGATTAAATATCTTACTGAAAGTTTGCTCATCCATTGGAGGAAATTGGAAACGGACGAAGAGGTCGAAATAGCCCAATCGCATGCCAGACTTTCTAAACGTTTCTCTGTGTTATACTCGTGTAAGCATTAAGAATAATCTATCTGATTCACATTTGTTTTGCGTTTCCTTCACTCCAGAAACAATTCGTGTTTTGCAGCGTATTGCTTCTTCGGGGTATATGGGATGACATCGGTACCCCTTTTAATGCCTATACTCGATATTGTGTTGCCCCTCAACGAATCTCGACCCGTTTTACTACCCATTTCTGTATACTACTTTATGGACCCTAGACAAAATTTAATTTTCGTTTGTGGATTTGCTATGGTATCTTGTGGAATACTGATGACCGCCCTAGTCGCCCACGATTGCATATTTGTGACCTTGGTCGAACACGTTTGCTGTATGTTTTCTGTGCTCGGGTAAGAGGACAATTCCGTGACGTAAGAAGATATACGTCATTGTAAAGTATATTTTAATGATTATTATTTAATGACGTTGAAAAAGCAAGGGCAAAAACTTCGTGCGAATTGTTTGTAGATCTCGTTATGAATATTTACTTGGTGCTAATTTCGATAACACTGAGAAAAATGCAAAGCTTGATTTCGACAAGATCTATCGTCAAAAAATTGGGCAATTTGTGTGTACACATAACAAAATCTTAGAGTAAGTATTGTTGTCGAGTACAACGAAATTTCTGAATTCCTTCGAGTGAAATTTCACTCGAAAAATAGAGTGATAACCGAGTCGAGTGATTTAAGTTTGAGTGACCTTTTATTATATACAGGATGTCCCACACAGTGATAGAAACTTTGGCTCATGGACACGGTCGTGTGAGTATGTGCGTATTCCCTCCCGTGCTGACGTGTGCTGCTCGGGAATCAAAGTTTCTATCACTACTCCCAGGTGCATCTCCGCAATTTTTGTGAGAACGGATTGAAGTAAACATAAAAATCCTGGAGCGTTTTGCGATATTCGCAATAATAGTCGAGATATTAATCATGAAAGATTAAGAAAAAAAGGCGTTGATCGGTAGAGAAAGGAGAGCTCGATTAATATTTCGACTATTATTGCGAATATCGCAAAACGGTATAGCACTTTTATGTCCACCTTAATCCATACTATGTTATCACAAAAATCGTGGAGGAGAGTCTAGGATATTCAGTGAATTTCTCTTATAATTTCAAGTAAGAGTAATTGCATTACTGTTTGGAGAGAATTTTCAATCGTTTCCAGTAAAATTTTACCTAAAAAATTTAAAAATCACAATAAAATACTTTATCAAAACATAAAAATAACGAAATACAGAGGTACTGTTTAATTTCAATCATTATTTATGTCAGGTTCGTGAAACTTATCGAAAATACCTTTACCATACCTCTCGCTATACAATTAATGATATTGATCGTGTCACTAAGCTGTACTTTGTTACAAGTATGTGCATTGATTTATTATAGAATTCTTTTTAAATCGTAAAAAATTAAAGTGCCACTTTTTTGTACTTGAGATCACGCACGAGGAAGCCAGAGCTATAGATGTCACGAGGTACATATTTTACGTGACGGGTCAACTGTTTCATTTGTTCTGCCTCAGTTTCGAGGGACAAAAATTAATCGATTACAGTCTTGGGTTGCGTGACAAAATGTAAGAGGATTGTCTCATGGGCTGAGACAAGCTAATTCTTAATAATTCTTGTACATGTTCTTTTTGGTAGTTTCTATAGCTCACGCCTTTTTGAAACGTTGCAGATACAATAGTTCGTGGTACCAAACATCCATAAGATCACAGAAGCTGCTTATTATGACGATGATGCAGAGTTTGCAGCCAACCTTTGTGAGCGCCGGCAAAATTTACATTTTCTCATTGGAGAGCTTCACTATGGTAAAAAATGTCGTCGTTACAGAGCGTGTCTTTTTATAGATAATGATGGAAATTATACGTAATAACCATATCCTTTGTATTCTTGTTTCAAAGGTAGTGCAAACGTCGGTGTCTTACTTTACCGTTCTCTCAACATTTCGATAGAACCATGATTCATATTAGTGCTGTATCTAACAATTACACTATTACTATTCCACATTGGATAGTACTAATGGTATTAATATCCCATATTATAGGTAAAATATATGTATGCTTAATTCTTTTATCATAGTAACTTTATTATAATAGCTTTGAATTGCTAGATAATTCAAGAGAAGGGGAGAGATAGTAGTTATACAGTTGAATAATATTTACTATATTTCATTAGAACAACATAGTAAAATATAAACGATAATAAATACGAAACGTTCAGTGCTTTCTATATTTGTGTCCTTCACCCTTGGACTCTTTATTTGAACTACGTTCACCCCTATTTTCCATAATGACATACTTTACTCATGCGATGCACTAGTCTATACGTACTGTATAGGGTAAGCTAACAAGCGTTAAACCGTTTTCAATAATATCGTATAGCTGATCATCATAGGTGATGTTACGTTAAGATGCGAATGTGACCGTTGTTTTATTATCTTCTCCAGTGCAGTAGATTTTGTTAATATAAATGTGGAATCGCGGTACTTCAATCGTAACTCACAGGATTATACAAACATTCGCTACTCCTAACTGAAGTTCTCAATTTTCTTGTATAACAATTTCCCTCTCGACATTAGATACGTTTCTTAGTTAAAGCACAATTTCGGACTATTGATGGTAAAATTCTCAGTTGCATTAACAACGCGCGCAGAAAATTCATTCACAAAGCGTAAACGCGAAAATACCGTTATTACTATAGACTTACGACATAAAGATACGTCTCACATAAGTGTTATTATGTAAATACGAGTGAACATCTATTGATGAGCGGACAAATAAAGCAATAAGTAGTATATTTAAATATTCACTAATTTTATCGATATATCTTTTACTTTACCATTAATGTTAAAAATCAAATAGAAAAGATTTTCCTACCTCACATATGCACACACACACATGATCAAATCAGACATTCCCCATATTTGTTTTTGTTGCAAAAACTGCTCTTACTGCGTTTATCCAGGAGGGTTGCGTGATACACACAGAAAAACAGCAAGAGAAGTGAGTAGTTGTTATATGATATTATTATTTTCTAATCAATAAGTCTTCCTTCGCTAACTAGATACTATCGTTTCAGCTGCCAAAGAGTCTTACGAACCTCTCGGCATTAAACTCTGTAATAAAGTTCGCATAAAACAATATGGTAAAATCATACGTGTACTATGCATTATTTACAGCCTGTTATTGTTCGCAAATTTAGAGCAGCGTTCTCTCAACGTCCAGAACAAAAAAAGAGAGGAAAAGTTTCGTTATCGTTTTCAGACGGAAGAACGCTCTTGAAAATTCTGCTCGACGCGTTTCACGAAAAAAGAAGTTTTAAAAATTATCTGCTCTATTATTGATGGAATGTGAATATAGCCATCGTGCAAGGAAAGGAAACGGTATCATGAAATATTGATTTTTTTATGGAGAGAGTTCCGTAGGAAAGGTTCAAAATTCAAACAACAGTGTGACACGGAAGAGAAACAGTTTCTTTTGGCAAGTATGAATTTAATTAAAAAAGATGATAGACAGGATTACTACGATGTTTGTCGAATATTTCTGTCGGTGATCGGCCAATGGCCTTATCAGAGGCTTCGTGAGAGAATACTTTGCATGAGTGTAATCACTACATGGCTTATTACTATGCTTGTGGTACAGGTAATATTAATTTTTGTCATAAGTTCTTCTTTTAGTAATGGATTGCTGTTGGCGGTTCTGCAGCATTGTGTGTGCGAATTTGGTGAACTTTGTATTTGCAGGATTTTTATTTTTTCAACGTTAATGCGAATAACTCTATATTTTTGTTTCTCAGGTAACATATTATTATGTATGCGAGACGACGAAGTGCATATTTAAAACCTTATCAGTAAATATGAGCGTATGGATGGCTTTCGTGAAACTATTAACTTGTCATTTCAATAATCGAAAAGTACGTGAGTCCCAAACTACGAAATTATTTAGTACATCTTGTTGACGATGTTGCTGTAGTTAACGAGCATATTATATCCGAGATATTGAATATATCGTTTACGCCTGTAGATTAATTACCTCATAGAATATTTACACACGAATTGGAATATTCTCGACACTCAAGAGGAACGGGAGATTATGAAGACGTATGCCATGAACGGCAGATGGTACACTTTCGCATACGCCTGTAAGAGATATTTCGGCTCTAGTTAATAAGTATTTTTCTTTTCTTAATAATAAAGTTCTTCTTCTTAATTATAAACTGTGATCATATACTTTAATTACAAAGAACTATTTATTTAATATTAGCTTTGATATGAATACATGTATGATATAAATAATTTTGCTCATATACAACTAAACTAACTTGCAGTATGCATTTATGTTGCTACGGTGACATTTGGGCTAACTTCGCTTTTACCGCGTATTATGGACGTTATATTTCCCCTGAACGAATCTCGTCCGACAGTATTGCCGGCACCGGCGTACTACTTCGTCGACGAGACTAAATACTTTTACTACATATTTTTCCATCTTGAATTCGGCAGTTTGATGGAAATGGTCGGACTTGTCGCGCACGACTGCATTCTTTTAACTTTGGTCGAACACGTCTGCGCCCTTTTCGTCATTGTGGGGTATTATTTACACTACAAACCAACACATTTGACATTTAACAAGCAAATTACCTAGATTACATCGGCACAACCGAATACCAGTGTAAAAACATGATATGTACAAATGTAATAAGTTAATCATTTTTATTCTTGCTCGTGTATGTATAAATATCAAGAATATAATTCTCAAAAACGCAGATTCATGCGAATTACATATAAATACTTGCAGATATAGGTTTGAAAATTATTTGTACAAACGCAATATTACGAGCAAAAGCCTGATTAATCTTTCAAATGATATATATGTTGAAAATATTGCGTTTTCCATTCAACTTCATCAAAGAGCTCTGCAGTGAGTAATTTAATAACGTTCTATGAATTTTTTTTCAGAAATGGTAAGCTCATTTTGGCGAACGCATCTTTTCAATTGTAATGATTTCCGATATTTTTTTATAAGCATTAATTTTTCATAACAATTGTTATGTTTGCGACAGGTTAGCCATCCTTATCGAGAAAACTTTTTCTTTATCCTTTGCTATACAAATCCTGATGAATGTGATTGCCATGAGCACCAGTTTAATACAAGTGAGTTTCTTTATATACAGAATTGTAAGACTTTTTACGCGCTAATGTGGTGTACAATTAAAATTTGATTTTATTTTTCTTGTGCTCCAGCTCTCGAAGGAACTGCAAGGTGATATGATGCAATTCATGAAATTCTGTATATATATCGTAGCTCAGTTATTCCATTTACTAGTTCTCAGCTACCAGGGACAAAAATTGATAAATCATAGTCTTGAAATACACACAAAAATGTAAGGAAAATTGAAATTTGTAATAAATTGAAGATAGGTTCGTCCATTATATTTAGCAGATTTATTTTCCATGTGGCGAAAGAAATTGGTTGAATCAATTAGAGTTTAGTATACTGCAACCAAAATATAATTGGTATGTTTACTGAAATATGTATCAATCATGTTTTTTGTTACAGTAATCAGATAAATTTGGTTACAAACGTTTGAATCAAGTAACCAGACAAATTTGATCATGAACTAAACAGGATTAAATTCAACATATATTTGTTACTAATAATTTTACTAATTTAAAAATTAAAAGTTACTTCTGGAAGTGCAAGTGTAAAAATATTTTGTCTAAAATTGGAGATTTTATATTTATTATCTTATAATTATGTTTAAAGAAATTCGCACTTTGTCCTATTGGGATTCAACGTGGGACTTTCGAATTGCGACTCGTTTGTCTACGCGTTGCACCATTTTTTGAATTTACAGATTTATTGTATAATGTTTGCATATATTTAGCGTTGAATATCAGCATATGTGATTATAATAATCAGAATTCTTGTTTAGTTCAATAAACAATTGTTGACCAAACATGTCATGTTCACTCATGTTTTGATATAATACCCAAATACTTGGATGTTATAACGAGATCAGTAGTAACCAAACTCTGACTGTATTTAAATTTAAATTCTGGTTGACTATCGGAATATTTCATTATAATAACCAGAAATTCTATTTTGATCAATTAAATCTTGTTTAATCAAACATGTTAACTCAATCATATTTGTTCTTTCTGTGCATAAAAATATTGAAAATATTAGATTGTTCTCTTTAACCGAGCGGCATTTCTTTTGTATATAATAATAATTTTTTAGATACAATGTGGTACATACCCATGAAGTCGCAAAGACTGCTGTTGTTCGCCATGAGAAAGAGCACGGAAATTATTTCCTTGTCAGCTGGAAAGATATACATATTTTGTCTAGAAAGTTTTACTTTGATAAAGTAATTACTACGCCACATACAACAACGTTATAAGCCAATACACGCACAAACCTATACAATTTTTAAATGTTTGTATTTAGATCGTGAAAACTTCGGTCTCCTACTTCACGGTAATGTCATCCATCAGCGAGCCGTGACTGAAGACTAATAATTGTCACCACACATTTAGTAAAATTTCTCCAACATTCTACAGATATGACATCACAAACAGTAAGGGGTAGTTACTATAACATATGCTTATACTGTTCAATGGGTTACAACAATAAACGCGTTGATTTTATTATTAATATGAACAACAAATTTTTCTATCCTAGACATACGATTACATTAATAAAGGTATAAGACGATCGTCTCATGAACTCACTAGAGACAAGCTATTTCCTGATAATTCCTGCATGTGTTTCTTTGTACAGTTAGATACCGTCTCTTTGGAAGGTCTACTATTTCTTTGCCATAGACGTTGCGTTTCCACTTGAACGAATCCATTGTAACCGTTTAGTACAGCAACATTATCACCAAAGAGACGAATATGAAATAATACTATTGTCAATGTGCTTTACATGGCTCACTCATGACCCTCACGGGTGAACAACAATTGCTTTGTTCTTTTTAGCTGCACTACTGAACTAATGCAATAGGTTAGAGTGAGAGGAAGCATATTTGTTTCACTTTAACTTATTGCACTATTTCAATACTATCGTTCGTATTGAACGTACAGAATATTAACCTACAGATGTTCCCGATATATTCCCCATGTTTATTGCTTTTTCTGCGTTTATCCGCAAATGTTACGAGACATGGGCGGTAAACATTGTGGTAAGCGTGCGTAGAAACACGGCACGAGAAACAAGTAGCTTTATAGCATTATTATTTTCTGATCAATAAGTCTTTCTCTGCGAAAATAGCTAATATTGTTTCAGCCGCCTCTACAGCTTACGAATCTCCCTCGACATTACATACTGTAGTAACGTCCGCATGAAATAATATGATAAATTCACACGTGGGTCATACATTATTTACAGCTTGTTACTGTTCGCAAGGTTAGAATAGCGTTCTCTCGACGTCTAGAACAAAAAAAAAGAGGAAAAAGTTTCGGTATCATTTTTAGATGGAAGAAGCCTTATCTTGAATATTCTGCTTGACGCAAAACAGAAAGTTTTAAAACTCACCTGCTCTATTATTGATAGAATACGAATGTAACCATTGTGCCAGGCCAAAAAAGAGCGATATCATGAAATATTTATTAACTTTTTCTATGGGGAGGGTTCTGTTGGAAAGACTCGAAATTCACACAATATTGTGACGTGGAAGGCAAACAATTTGCTTAGGCAAGTATGAATTCAATTAAAAAAGGTAACAAACAGGATTACTACCACATGTATAGAAAACTTCTGTCGATGGTCGGCCAGTGGCCTTATCAGAGGCCTCGTGAGAGAATAATTTGCATGAATGTTGTACTTACATGGCTTCTTTCTATTTTTGTTGTACAGATAATGCTAACTTTTGTCATAAGTACTTCTTTTAGAAACCGGTGATGGATCGCCTTTGGCGATTCTATAGCATTGTGTGCGGGTTTGGAAGAGTTTGTGTTTGTAACATATTTATTCTCTCACGTTAACGGGAATAACTCTATATTTTTATTTCCTAGCTAGCGCAATTTTGCGTATGCGAGTCGACAGTGCATATTTCAAAATTTATCAATTCATTTGACCACATGGATGGCTGTGGTGAAACTATTAACTTGTCATTTCAATAATGGAAAAGTATGTTACTCCTAAAATATTGATACAAAGTTATTTAGTATAATCTGTTAATGATGTTGCTGCACAGTTAACGAGAATATTATATCCGAGGTATCGAATATATCATTTATGCTTGTAGATTAAATATCTCATAGAACAGTTGCACGCGGACTGGAATATTCTCGACACTCAAGAGGAACGGGAGATTATGAAGAGGTATGCCTTGAACGGCAGATGATACACTTTCGCATACGCCGGTAAGAGACATTCCAGTTCAAGAGTATCTCTCTTTACGTGATCCTAATCTCTTTTTTTTTTAATCATTAACTGTAATCATAATGAATTATTTTTGAGATATTATAAAGATAATATAATCACATGTATTATATAAATAATTATATTTACACACAACAAAACTGACTTGCAGTGTGCATTTACTCTAGTACGTTGACATTCGGGATAGCTGCACTTTTGCCGCGTATCATGGATGTTATATCTCCTCTAAACAAATCTCGTCCAATAATATTGCCGTATGAGGCATATTACTCGCGACGAAGCTAAATACTTTTACTATATATTTTTCCATCTCCAGTTCGGCGGTGTGGTATGTCTTGCCGGACTTATCGCGCACGATTGCATCTTCTTAACTTACGTCGAACACGTCTGCGGTCATTTCGGTATTGTGGGGTAAATATTACTTACATAACAAACCAATATATTCGACATTTTACGAGCAAATGACCGAGGTTACGTCGGCACAGCAAGTGTTAAAATGTGAAATATGTACAAATATAATATTCTAATAATTTTAGTTCTTGTTCGTGCATGTGTAAGAATATAAAAAATATAATATTTAAAAACGCCGATTCATGCGAATAGCAGTCGAATACTTACAGATTTAAGTTTGAACACCTTTTATACAAACACAATATTGCGGACAAGAGTCTGAGTAATCCCTCAAATAAGATATATGTCGAAAAAATTGCGTTTACCATTCAACTTCACCAAAGAGCTTTGCAGCGAGTAATGCAATAAATGTTTATGTATTTTCCTTCAATAATGCTAAGCTCATTTTTGCGAGTGTATCTCTTCAGTTGAAATGGATTCCAATATTTTTTTATAAATAATAATTTTTCATAACAATTGTTATGTTTGCGACAGTTTTGCTACTCTTATCGAGAAAAATTTCCTTTATCCTTTGCCATACAAATCCTGATTATTGTGATTGTCATGAGCACTAGTTTAATATAAGTGAGTTTCTTCAATATACAGGATTGTAAGATTTTAAACGCGTTATAGTGTTGCACAATTAAAATTTGATTTTATTTTTCTTTTGTTCCAGCTCTCGGAAGAACTGCAGAATGACATGATAAGTAGTGAAATACTTTATATTTATCGTAGCTCAGTTATTCCATTTACTAGTTTTCAGCTATCAGGGACAAAAATTGATAAATCATAGTCTTGAAACACACGCAAAAATGAAAGGAAAATTGAAATTTGTAATAAATTGGAGGTAGATTAGTCCGTTATTTAGTAGAATTATTTTCCATGTGAAAAAAGAAATTAGTTTAATCTCTTCCGGGTTAACTGATTTATTGTATAATGTCTGCTTACGGTATAATCAACGTTGAATACCAGAATATTGTGATTATAATAATCAGAATTTTTGTTTAATTTAATAAACAGTTGTTGACGAACATGTCATTCATGCTTTGATATAATAATCAAATACTTGGATGTTATAACCAGATCAGTAGTAATCATACTCTCACTATGGTTAAACTTAAGTTCTGTTTGAATGCCGTAATATTTATAATAATAAATAATTCTATTTTGTTCAATTAAATCCTATTTAATGAAATAAGTTACATTAATTTAATCATAATGGTTTTTTGTGCATGGAAATATTGACAATATTAGATTGTTCTCTGTAACCGAGCGGCATTTCTTTTGTACATAATTGTAATCTTTTAGTTATAATGGCTTATGGTACACCATACCTGTGAAGTCGCAAAGAATGCTGTTGTTCGCCATGAGAAAAAGCTCGGAAGTTGTTTCATTGTCTGCCGGAAAGATATATATATTCTGTCTAGAAAGTTTTACTTCGGTAAAGTAATTATTGCGATACATGTAATATCATTATAAGCTAATACACACACAAATCTATACAATTTTTAAATGTTCGTATTTAGATCATGCAAACTTCGGTCTCCTACTTTACGGTAATGTCATCCTTCAGCGAGCCGTGACGGAGGACCGATAATTGTTACCACACGTTTAGTAAAATTTCTCCAATATTCCACAGACATGACATCACAAACAGTATCAAGGGGTAGTTACTACAATATATGCTTATATTGCTCAGCGATTTACAACAATAAACGCGTTTATTTTGTTATTGATATAAACAAGAAACTAAAGAACTTCTATCATACGATAAGCTATTATCCTATTCTATCCTATATATACGATATTATTAATAAACGTTGTCTTCTATCTTTCCAAAAAAATACGTTTTCTATACGTTTTCTATGGGATTTCTAATATTTACAATAGGCACAGAAATATACTATTAATAAAGAGTATCCCTTTAACTGCATTATTACTCGCATTATTATCTTTAACTTATTATTTCTCGACTGATTCACGTCTGTGGAACTTGTCAAGCTATAAACGAATCAGTGCAGTTTTTTTCCCCTTCATAATAATTCCTGCACATACGTATTTCTGCATTTAGATCGTGTCTCTTTGAAGCGTCTACTACTTTTTTGCCTAATACTTTTTTGCGTCTTCACTTGATGAAAACGAATCCATTGTGACACATTTGGTAAAGCAATTATAACGTTAACAGCAAAGTCACGTTGCGACTAATGAGAAATAATCGTATCGTATCAATATGCTTTATATAATTTAATGAGCCTTTCACGGATAAACAATAAGTAGTATATTTTACAATTAATTTAATAATTTCATAGAAATATTGTTTATTTTATTCTTGATGTTAAAAAGAAATGATATATATATTCCTACCTTATACATACACGTAAACACATATGATAAAACGAATAGATGTTCCCCATATTTGTTTTTGCTGCAAAAACTACTCCTACTGAGAATTATCCACGAGGGTAACAATGCATGCGCGATAAACGCAGAAAAACGGCGTCAGATGTGAATAGTGGTTTTATGACATTATCATTTTCTGATCAATAAATCCTCCCTTGCTAACTAGATCGTTTCAGCTGTCAAGGGGATTTACAAGCCACTCGATATTATACTTTGTAATAAGGTTTGCGTGAAACAATGTGGTAAAATCGCACGTGCACTTACATTATTTACAGCCTCTTATTGTTCGCAAACTTAGAGCAGTGTTTTCTCGGTGTCCAGAGCAAAATAAAGAGGGGAAAAGTTTCGTTATCTTTTCAGATGCAAGAACGTCTTTGAATATTTTGCTCGATGTGTTTTGCGAAAAAGAAAATTTTAAAACTTAGTTGCATTATTGTTGATGTAAATGTAGTCATCGTGGCGGGATAGAAAGCGGTATCATGAACTATTGACTTTTTTCATGGAGAGAGTTTCGTAGGAAAAGTTCGAAATTTAAATAAGAGTATAACGCGGAAGAGAAACAATTTCATTAGGCAAATATGAATTCAGTAAAAAAAGATGATAAACAGGATTACTACGACGTTTGTAGATTTTTTCTGTCGATGGTCGGCCAATGGCCTTATCAGAAATCTCGTGAGGGAAGAATTCGCATAAGTGTTAACATTACATGGATTATTTCTATTCTTGCTGTAGAGGTAATGATAAATTTTGTCGTAAATACTTCGTTTAGAAATCGGTGATAGAAATCTTTTAGAAATCGTTGTTGGCGATTCTGTAGCACTGTGTGCCAATTTAGAAAATTTTGTGTTTGCAGGATATTTGTTCACGTTAACGCGAATAATTTTAAATATTTTCTTTCCAGGCAGCACAGTTTTACGTATGCGAGACAACGCAGTGCATAATTCAAGCTGTACCAGTACATTTAACCGTATGGATAGCTCTCCTGAAATTATTAACTTGTTATTTCAATAATCAAAAAGTACGTTAGTCTCAAACTACTGATACAAAGTTACTTAGCACAATCTGTTTACAATATTGATGTAGTTAGCGAGCATATTTTATCCGACGTATCGAATATATCGTTTACGTTTGTAGATTAAATACCTCATAAAACATTTACACACGGATTGGAATATTCTTGACACTCAAGAGGAACGAGAAATTATGAAGAGGTATGCCATAAACGGCAGATGGTACACTTTCGCATACGCCTGTAAGGGACATTGCAGCTTCGGCTAATGATTATTTTTCTTTTCGTAATCATAAACTCTTTTTCTTTAATTATAAACTGTGATAATAGATTTTAATTACAAAGAACTATTTATTTAATATTAGAAGATGATATGAATACATCTATGATATAAATAATTTTGCTCATATACAACTAAACTAACTTGCAGTATGCATTTATGTTGCTACGGTGACATTTGGGCTAACTTCGCTTTTACCGCGTATTATGGACGTTATATTTCCCCTGAACGAATCTCGTCCGACAATATTGCCGGCACCGGCGTACTACTTCGTCGACGAGACTAAATACTTTTACTACATATTTTTCCATCTTGAATTCGGCGCTTTGGTGGCATTTGCGGGACTTGTCGCGCACGACTGTATTCTTTTAACTTTGGTCGAACATGTCTGCGCCCTTTTCGTCATTGTGGGGTATTATTTACACTACAAACCAACACATTCGACATTTTGTTCATACACAACGAAACTAACTTGCAACATGCATTTACGTTACTATGTTGACATTCGGGACAACTGCTCTTTTACCGCGTATCATGGACGTTATATTTCCCTTGAACGAATCTCGTCCGATAATATCGCCGTTTCCGGCATACTACTTCATCGATGCGACTAAATACTTTTACTACATATATTCTCATCTTACATTGGGTAGTTTGATATGTATTGCCGGAGTCGTCGCGCACGATTGCATCTTTTTAACTTTGGTCGAACACGTCTGCGGCCTTTTCGCTATTGTGGGGTATTATTTACATTACAAACCAACACATTCGACATTTAGCAAGCCTTCATTTAGCCAATGACCTTCATTATATCAGCACAACCGAATACCAGTGTAAAAACATGATATGTACAATTATAATATATCAATAATTATAGTTTTTGTCTATGCATGCGTGAATATCAAGAATATAATTTAAAACACTCATGCGAATTGCACATAAATAATATTTCCAGATATAGGTTTGAATATCACTTGTACAAACGCAATATTACGGACAAGTGTTTGAGTAATATTTCAAATGATGTATATGTCGAAAATATTGCGTATTCCATTCAACTTCATCAAAGAACTCTACAGTGAGTAATGCAATAAATGTTTATGTATTTTCCTTCAAAAATGCTAAGCTCATTTTTGCGAGTGTATCTCTTCAATTGAAATGGATTCCAATATTTTCTTATAAACAATAATTTTTCATAATAATTGTTATGTTTGCGACAGCTTTGCTACTCTTATCGAGAAAACTTTTACTTTATCCTTCGCCATACAAATCTTGATTATTGTGATTGTCATGAGCACTAGTTTAATACAAGTGAGTTTTTTCAATATACAGGATTGTAAGATTTTAAATGCATTATTGTGTTGCACAATTAAAATTTGATTTTATTTTCCTTTTGTTCCAGCTCTCAGAAGAACTGCAGAATGATATGATAGCAGTAATGAAATTCTTTATATATATCGTAGCTCAGTTATTCCATTTACTAGTTTTCAGCTATCAGGGACAAAAATTGATAAATCATAGTCTTGAAACACACGCAAAAATGTAAGAAAAATTGAAATTTGTAATAAATTGGAGGTAAATTAGTTCGTTATTTAGCAGGATTATTTTCCATGTGAAAAACGAAATTAGTTTAATCTTTTTCGGGTTGACTGATTTATTGTATAATGTCTGCTTACGATATAATCAACGTTGAATACCAGAATATTGTGATTATAATAATCAAAATTTTTGTTTAATTTAATAAACAGTTGTTGACGAACATGTCATTCATGCTTTGATATAATAATCAAACACTTGGATGTTATAACTAGATCAGTAGTAATCATATTCTCACTATGGTTAAACTTAAGTTCTGTTTGAATGCCGTAATATTTATAATAATAAATAATTCTATTTTGTTCAATTAAATCCTATTTAATGAAATAAGTTAGATTAATTTAATCATAATTGTTTTTTTGTGCATGGAAATATTGACAATATTAGATTGTTCTCTGTAACCGAGCGGCATTTCTTTTGTACATAATTGTAATCTTTTAGTTATAATGGCTTATGGTACACCATACCTGTGAAGTCGCAAAGAATGCTGTTGTTCGCCATGAGAAAAAGCTCGGAAGTTGTTTCATTGTCTGCCGGAAAGATATATATATTCTGTCTAGAAAGTTTTACTTCGGTAAAGTAATTATTGCGATACATGTAATATCATTATAAGCTAATATACGCACAAATCTATACAATTTTTAAATGTTCGTATTTAGATTATGCAAACTTCGGTCTCCTACTTTACGGTAATGTCATCCTTCAGCGAGCCGTGACGGAGGACCGATAATTGTTACCACACGTTTAGTAAAATTTCTCCAATATTCCGCAGATATGACATCACAATTAGTCAAAAGATAATTTTTACAATATATGCTTTTATTGCTCAGTGTGTTACAACAATAAACGCGTTCATTTTATTATTGATATAAACAAGAAACTGAAGAACTTTTATCATACGATAAGATATTATGCTATTCTATTCTATATATACGATATTATTAATAAATGTTGTCTTCAATCTTTCCAAAAAATACGTTTTCTATAGGATTTCTAATATTTACAATAGGCACAGAAATATACTATTAATAAAGGGTATTTCTTTAACTGCATTATTACTCGCATTATTATCTTTAACTTATTATTTCTCGACTGATTCACGTCTGTGGAACTTGTCAAGCTGTAAACTAATCAGTGCAGTTATTTCCCCTTCATAATACACTAATAATTCATGCACATATGTATTTCTGCACTTAGATCGTGTTTCTTTGACACGTCTACTACTTTTTTGACTACTACTTTTTTTTGTCTTCACTTGATGGAAGCGAATCCATTGTGACACATTTAGTAAAGTACACAACGTTAACACCGAAGTGATGTTGCGACTAATAGGAAATAATCATATCGTATCAATATGCTTTATATGATTTAATGAGCCATTCACGATAATAAGATAAACAATAAGTAGGATAAACAATAAGTAGTATATTTTACAATTAATAATTTCATCGAAATATTGTATATTTTACTCTTGATGTTAAAAAGAAATGATATATATATTCCTACCTCATACATATACGTAAACACATATGATAAAATGAATAGATGTTCCTATAACATAATTGATTTTATTGCAAAAACTACTACTGAGGGTTATCCACGAGGGTAACAAGGCACGCGCGATAAACGCAGAAAAACGGCGTCAGATGTGAATAGTGGTTTTATGACATTATCATTTTCTGATCAATAAGTCCTCCCTCGCTAACTAGATAGTATCGTTCCATCTGTCAAGGGGGCTTACGAGCCTCTCGATATTACACTCTGTAATAAGGTTTGCGTGAAACAATATGGTAAAATCGCACGTGCACTTACATTATTCATAGCCTCTTATTGTTCGCAAACTTAGAGCAGTGTTTTCTTGGTGTCCAGAGTAAAAAAAAGAGAGGAAAAGTTTCGTTATCTTTTCAGATGCCATAACGTCTTTGAATATTCTGCTCGATGTGTTTCGCGGGAAAGAAAATTTTAGAACATAGTTGCATTATTATTGATGTAAATGTAGTCATCGTGGTAGCATAGAAAGCGGTATCATGAACTATTGACTTTTTTCATGGAAAGAGTTCCGTAAAAAAAGTTCGAAATTCAAATAAGAGTGTAACGCGGAAGAGAAACAGTTTCATTAGGCAAATATGAATTCAGTAAAAAAAGATGATAAACAGGATTACTACGACGTTTGTAGATTTTTTCTGTCGATGGTCGGCCAATGGCCTTATCAGAGATCTCGTGAGGGAACACTTCGCATGAGTGTTATCATTACATGGCTTATTTCTATTCTTGTTGTAGAGGTAATGATAAATTTTGTCGTAAATACTTCGTTTAGAAATCGGTGATAGAAATCTTTTAGAAATCGTTGTTGGCGATTCTGTAGCACTGTGTGCCAATTTAAAAAATTTTG